TCCTACGCTGCCTACCCCTCTCTGGTTCCTGGCCATTTTCTCATGGTTCTCCAGTCTTCCAACAACCCTGTAGGTCTCCTTTCAGTAAATTCCTTCTCTACTTTAGTCAGAATTGGTTTCAATTTATTGTAACTGACAACCCAGACCAATGCAAGGCCCACCTGAATTAAGCTCACTTAAGGAGATTTGAATTTCTATATTTCCTTTAGATGAACTCAGTTACGCTCCCGTCTCGGACTGTCAGAATCCTCCCAGGCCACCTGCTCCAAGTCACCACCCAGGGCCCAAACCCCCTCTGCAGCACCCCCGATACCACGGCCTCCTCAACTCATGACCAGCAACTCATTTTTTTGCTCGGTGATTGACTCCATTGTTAGGAAGTTTTTGGTATCCATCACTTCCAATGGAAAATTGTCCTATTTCGTATCATATTTAAGTTCTTTCATGCCTTTTGAAAGTGAAGTACGTGTACTAAATAGAAGTGACACTGATGTGTGAGGCAATGTGGGACATCTCAGGGAAAGTGAGCCTGCAGCCCAGGTGGATACAGAGATTTGTGAGTCCATAGTAACGGTCAAAAGTATGGCCTCTCCAAGTGGTGGTGGGGGGTTAATGCAAAACAGTGCAGAAAAATGCAAACTATAAAACATTTGGTCAGCAGTGGGGCTGGAGTAAGGGTGAGGGCGAGAAATGGAGTGAGAGATGAGATCAGGGATCGGGGATCGGGGATCGGGGATCAGGGTGAGGAATGGGGAAAAAGCCAGGGGTGAAATAAAAGTCCTCTGGCAAATGACCTGGCCTGACAGGCTTTTAAAAACAGCTGCGTCTATGTCTGTCTCATACAGGGTGGCCCCCAATCAGAAGCCACTGAGGATAGGAGGGGAAGTGTAGTCAGAAAGTAGTATGAGTAGAGCCACCAAAGCCGAAGGGTGAGACTTTTAGGAAGACAGGGTGTTTGGCAGGGCCAAGGGCCTTCAAAAAGCCAAGAAGAGTGGGAGAAAAGGCCTCAGATCTAGTAAAGTTGGGGCCTGGAGACATGAGAATTGGGGTGTGTGTAGTGATAGGAGCTCTAGGGTGTAGGGGGAGGGTGAGTGAGGCAGCAAGGAAGCCTGGAGTGCTGGTGAGTGAATGGAGAGGGACACTGAACAGCCAGGTGAGTGAAGATGGAGAGAAGCCCCTGGAGAAGCACAGGTTGAAGGTGTGGGGGAGAGTGGTTTGGAGAGGAGAGCCTCAGCAACCACTGGGATAAATATCTGAGGTGCAGAAAGAAGGCTGGGTGCGACAGAGGGGGGAAGAGTATACGCTGAGGCAGAGAGATGAGGGACAGCATACAAAACTATTATCTTTTCAATTATAAATGAGCCGAGTGGCCTTTGGGATGTCTAGGACACCTAAGTCAAACATTCTTGGCAGACACCATGACTTCCCCTGGAAGGAAAACCTGAAACAGCGTTGGCCCAGCATTTCAAAAAGGAGTTAGGGAGTTTTATGAAGAAAAGGGAGGGTGGAGTGATCTGAGGCAAATATGCACATCCAGGATTTGGGAGCCCTGGGTTCTGCCCCCAGCTCTTCTGGGGCTGTGCCAGTGGTGCGGCCTCACGAGGCTAATGCAATTGGGGTTTCACGTAGTTTGGGAATATAGAAAGGTAATGTTATTTTTGTCAGCAGAGGCACCACTGGCCAGAAACAAAAAGAATGTAGAGTGTGTGTGTGTGAAGGTGTGTAAGGTAATCAAATAATCCACAATAATTTCCACTGGCCCTTGGAATGCATCTTGACATTCTCATTTGAAAATGGGTGAGTTATGATCCAAGAATTTACTTCTCACCAGATCACGAAACTGTGCAGGGAAGATTCAGCTGTGAAGGGGTTTTCTGGCCTACTCCTTGTGAACTCTATGATCAGCTGTCCAGGAAGTTAGCAGCTGAAGAGTTATCCAGGGCATTATTTAAAGGGAGTTAGGGGTAGGTAAAGGTAGTATTCGTTTAAAAATTTTAATTTGGGTCTTTATGATTAGCTATTGTGATATATATATTTTGTAAAATTTGCATTTCTCTTTCTGTGGTTTCCTGTGGCTTGAGTTGGTCTCTACTGGATGCAAACCAGAGTGATAAAGCAGATGAAGTGGGTGAGGGAACCTGATCCTGGTCGGACATGGGGGTGTCCAGGATCTGGTGTCCCTGCTGAGGTTTGTTTCTTGCCGACCAGGATCTAGATCTAAGGCAAAAAGTGAGTTTACTTTACAAATTGTTAGATACCAATATGGGCTACATGGGATGACTTGCCTCTTAGAACTGAGTGCTAAACACAATTCCCCCCCTTTTTTCTCCCCCTTCGGTCTCAATTTTTATTACATCTTTCTTCTGGGGGCAACTAAAGAACTTTCATCCCGAAGGCTTTTCTAGAGCTTTGTCCTGTGTAATCTGTAGGGCTTTCCAACACTGATAAGAACAGCAGTGGGACAGCTTGAAACTTTTGCGAAGAGATAAATCCCAGGAGAGCTGAGAGCAGACAAACACCCGAAGCATGGAGTTGGGGACGGCATGGGTAAAAATGCCAATGCCCAGGTCCCACCTGGGGTGGGGCCTAGGAAACTGTAAACTCAGCAGCTTATGTGGGTAAGCCGGCTGGAGCCAGGGAACTAGGTCTCATTCTTAACCATGAGGGAACTGAGGGTCAGGGAGGGTAACTGCCTAGGACACATGGTGAATCTGGGGCAGGAATGCGGCCAGAACTCAGGGTCCTGCCTCTGATGAGGGCATGCCTCCCGTTGCAGCGCACTGGGCACTGTGAGCGACACCCTCATGGCCTGTGGCCTGGTTTTAGACGAACACTGGTGTGTTGCTGGTGTCCAGTCCGCACACTTGCCAGAGTGATCCTATCTTCTTTCTTCACCTCCTCCCAACTCCCCTGCTTTCTCTGGATGCTCTGAACCACCATGCAAACCAACTTGTTTATCTCAATATTTGTGCAAGTCTAGAGACATGAAACTCAGATTGCCTCATCACAGGCAGCTTTACCAGAGATCTGTATCTTGTTTATTTACCGAGAGGACAGGTACATTTGAAATCCTCGGCATCGCTCTGGAGTAGGTGGAGGGAGGAGGCTGCTGCTTCTCGGCAGTGTGTGGCCAACCTCCAAGGTCCTGGGACATGCTCCGAGCAGACAGTGAAATTCAGGTTTGTGGCAGCATGGTGGAGCCAGACCCAAAACGGGATAGAACCTTCCCTTTCATGTCACCTAGTCAGGCCACCCCAAGTGGTGGCCAGATTGCTTGAAAGAGACTAAAACAGAAGGCACTTTGCAACCCTGTAATAGGCATTTTACAGCAAGATTTGCCTCTCCTCCCCAAAGCACCTTTTGGGGTGTCTTTGTAGGCAAGGAAGTGTAACTTTCATGGGCAGGAAGCAAATTAAATTTATTTGGTGATTTGCCTTTCTGTAACCAAACACTATGCCTTGGCAAGCTAAGGGACAGCTTCCCTGGCTCTCACATTCCAGAGCTGTGCCTCCAGTCTTGCTAGGGTCCGAGGGGCCCTAGTGTTCCCCGTGGTTGGTCCAGTCTCAGGCAATGACCAACGCAGCTCAGTTTTTCTCCTTCCACAGGACTGAATGGGCCCTGACCTCTGGACGTTGGTTGGCCCTGAGCCCGCCAGTTACTCAGTCCCAGGCCTTCCTGAAACAATGAAAGCAGCCCCGGTCTGATATTTTACATGGATCCCAATTAGACTTGGCATCGTGCCCAGGGAAGTAGCTCATCTGGTACAGGGAAGGAAAAATGACTCACCACGTGCTCCTCCCATGTATCCAACTTCAGTCTTTGCTTGGCCACTGGTGGAGAAGCAGAGGAGACTGGTGTCCTGGTGAATGGGGCTGGGTGTCTTTAGAGGCAAGAACACTAAGGCTGAGGAAGACTCTCGGCATGAGGAGCACATATCATGCTGAAAAGCAAACTATTTCCCTGGTACATATCTCCACATGGGGGAAGCGCATACCACATATGGATGGAGATGTGCAGAGAACTCCAGATGCCCATGCGCTCTGTGTGGGGCCCAGCTGAGTGTTCCCGTCACATGGCTTCGCTTCCTCTGCCTCTGAGGTTACAGTTCTCAGGGTGCCAGGGAGAGGGGGGCTGTCTAAAGTGGGCCCCTACTGCCTGAGGCAACTGCCTTTTCCACTTATTTCAAAATCACAAGGCAGAGTCTATCCCAGAAATCCCTGAAGTTTGGTGGCAATTCTCAGGCATCTGTGATCTGTAGGTCCCCACAGGAAAGTTGTCATCAAGAGTTTTGTCAATGGGAGCGCCCCTTACCTATACTTCGAGGCTGATCCTGTGGCTCAGGATGATTTGGATGGATGTCACAAAACCAGAAGGAAAATGGGAAAGGTCCAATTTAGAAGCTCGAATACATTTTGCTAAATATATGTGTATGTGTGTGTCTTCCAGAGAGTGTGCTCCCTGAGGGAGACTGGTGCAGTTCATTCCAACATAAACAGGAATAAGAGGTAATGGCTTCACTCAGTAGAAAACTAGCAGCATCCTTTTGCTCCCTGGGGCATCCCCCGGGGTCCTCATCAGGCAGCCTCTCTCGTGGCAGGAGGGGTGTGCCTGGTCAGCACAGCTATAACTCGTCCATCATAGCCAGCAAATCATCCCCCTTGCTGGTGCTCCACCTTGGCGGGGCGGTGACCTCAAACTCCCCCATGATCCGAGCCAGCTCTTGGTTCCTTTGCTGGTCCTGGCAGAGAAATGAGACATGCAGTTGGTATGTGATTTTCATCCCACCACTGTGATGCATTTCAGCTCCTCACCTGTGTGTCCGAATAGGGACTATATTCATACTGATCGGAGAGGAGAAGGTAGGGCCTTTGAAGGTCAAAGTTATTACAGATGAGGAGGGGAATAAGAACTGACTCGTGGGATCCCCTGCACACACCTGAGTAGCTTGTATGTTGACAACTTCGTGGGCTAACTCCTCTGGCCTGGTTAGTGTTGCTTGTCTGCATGAGACATAGAGAAATGGGTCAAGGGTTAGAGTTTCCTCCCTGCCAGCGTGGCAAACTGGCACTTGATAATTTGGCAACCTATTTTTTTCTGCCTCATCCTCTGCCGTTTCCTTTCAACTTTGTACCCCATATGCCCAACCAATGCCCCCCCGCCCCCCAGCAGGTCATGTTCTTTTATATCTCTGTGCCTTTGCACATACTAAACTCTGCCAAGAATGTTCTTCCCCTTCCTCTGCTTGGCAAACTCCTAGACCCGGCTCAGATGCCAACTCTCTCAATCTGCCGGTGCAAGTAATCACCGTGTCCTCCGTTAGCGCATGTATGACACGGCACTGAAACAGCTTATGGACATGTTCGTTCTCCTTCTACGTGGGAGCTCCGGAGGACAGGCTCTAGGTCATATGCTCCACGTCTGTGTCCCTAGCACTTCCCATAGTACCTGCCACACAGTAGTGCACAAAAGGAATTATATCAATGGATAGGGAATTAGAAGGCACCTCCCACCCCAAATATGTGGTTGTGAGGGCGATCACATGAGATAATGAATGCAAAAGTGCTCTGTAAACTGTAAAGCACTGTATAAATCTCAGTGAATTACTACTGCTATTGGTTTGGGGGAAGGCGGTCTAATCTCAAAGATATCACCCTTTGGCCTCCCTCCTCTTGTTTTTTAACAGACTTCTCTTAATTTTATTATCTTCACTTCTAATACTTCTTGTCCAGCTGTGCTGTGCTAACTTAAACACTGGAACTATTTTTTGAATGAATCCAGAAAGTTCAGACTATTTAACAATGGGGGTTCTTCTTTAACCAGGTTATTGGATTATTTGCTGGTATGTCATCTGTGGTCTTTACATCTGTATTTGTGTGTCATTGGTTTATAATGGTCACTTTTTTGGTTTAGCACACTTAGGATTTTAATATATGTTTTTAAAGAAACAGATTTAAAACATACTCCTCCTCTTCATCGGTGGTAAAGAGATTCAACCGGAATCCTGGCTCAGGGCCACTGGATTTCTTAATCTCCATTCCTCCCATCAGCTTGGCCAAGAAATTCAGCTCTTCTTTAGCAAGAGGGTTTGGAGCAATGCTTTGCTGCAGAAAAAAATGTCATGATTTTCAGCCACATGAAAGTGATCATGTTTCCCACTGAGATCGAGGGACCCAGGGTGGTATTATAAAACAAGGCAAAACAATAACTGTTCAAATTATTTTTGGGAAGAACTGGGTCCAAATAAAGCACAGAAAAAAGGCTTAATCAACAGAGAAACAATCTGCGTCAGAAGCAGAGGGACTCTAGCAGGGCAGCAAAACAGAGATTTTCACACTCTCAGGATGAGTGGAAGGCCCCAGGAGTCCCCACTGTCCTCAAACTACCTTCCTCCTTGAAGGAGAAGAACGCCGCTTCCTCTTCAGTCAGCCCCATTCCCTCAAACCAGGGCTCCAGGTCCAAGGGCACTGGCTCCATAGATGCTACCACACTGCCCTCAGGTGGTGACTGTGCGATCGCACCCTAAGTCCATTCCCTCTCCTCACTGTCTCGCCCATTCCAACCTTCTCCCCTTGACCATGGCTCTCGCCCAGGCTTCCCCCGCTCTGCCTCTTCTGTCACTGTGCGGCCAGAGTTATCTAAAATATAGTTCTCATCTCACTTCTCCCTTGCTTGAAATAAACCCCTCTGCCTCCTGCCTCAAGGACAAAATCCAAATTGTTTAAGCCCCAGTGTCCCTGTAGAGTTGAATCCTGGCCACTAGCCTCAGTTAGGCCAGGATCTAGTCACGTGGGAGAGATGCTGCCTCCCTGCTTCCCCCAAACACTATGCTCTCCTGCCCCTCGGCGCCTTTGCTCAAACTTTCACCTCTGTCTGCGTGCCTACTTCCCCTTCTGGTCTGTTGAATGTCACCTCCTCTGAGCAGCCTTCCTGATCACTCTCCCCTGCCCCTGCCCACAGGACAGAACACATGCTCTGCACAGCATTTCCTTCAGAATACCCAGGAGCTCTGCCTCTGCCGTGTTAGCTTCCCGCTTCTATGGCTGTCTTTCCAGGGCACTCTGCGCCCCTGCAGGATTAGGCCACGTCTGAGCCAGCTTTGTGTCCCTGGGTACCCAGCCCACAGAAGTAGTTCAACGAATGTTTGCTGAAAAACTGAATATTCCATGAGTTGTCCTGTAGCTAGTTGGTGGCTAGTTCAGTGAAAATTTGTAAAGATGGAATTCAGAGAACCTGAAACTCCATTTTGAACTTAGCTATCACTATATAGGGAAGCACCGAAAAGGGATATTTTAATGATCGAGATACACACAGGTGCTGGAGTCAGCAACCACGGACCTAATGGCACTGGTATAGTGCTAATTCCTGGTGTGTGGTTCCCACTTAGTTATGGTGACTGAGCCAAGTCTAAAATTACCTAATTAGCCAGATCACTGGAGGTCTCCATGGGAAACTACAATTAAAAACCTGTGTACTTATAAGGCCAAATTGAGGAGATTGCAAACAATGAGGGAAATGTTGGCTGGCTTTGAAATCTAGAGGCCCCACCCTTCTCCCCGTCCAGACTTTTATATCTACAAATAAGCTCAGAAGGTACATGCGGGAGGCAGAGGCTCACCTGTGTCTGTGAAGCTAAGTTCTTCGATGCCCCAGATGTGTGGGTTTCCACAGGCCGGTTCACACTGTACCTGGTTGTCAACAGAAAACTGTGAAAATGCTGTCCAGCCCTTTACACTGACTTCCTTCTAACCCCTAAATATAGCTCATGGCTTTTATTTTGAGATGTTTAAAAACATCCAGAAAGGTGCTGGGAATACAGAATACAACTAAGTGTTTGTCAACTGCTCAAGTTTCACTCCTTCCCAAAGGAAAACACGGGGAAGCTGTGTGGAGCTGCCTCACCTTTCTGAATGTCCAGGGCCGCTTAAAATTACTTATCTTTTAAACGTGTTGGGTTACCGTATGTCTGGGAATCTTAGGTACCCTTTGAAAGTGGCAGGGCTGCATGCACAGTGTCTGAGGGAAATCACTCCAATTGCCAGCAGGATTTTCATGGCAGACGTCAAGCTGGTTTTCTAAGTGAAGTGACCTCCCTTGGACTTGAATTCATTCAGGGAGGGAGAATTTGCTTACATATTAGTTCCCAGTTTCAGAACGCGGTCTCCATAAACTTCGAAAGAACCTTCCTTTGGTGCAGGGACGTAGTTTCCGCCGTGCTGGAATTCCACTGTCCTCACTTCTTTGCCTTTGTTGTTGAACATTCTGCAATACAAAGTATGACATGATGGAATGTTCTCCAAGCTTGGCTAGTCCTGGAGGTGTCTTTATTCTTTGTACTACGGGACAAAAAGGAATTCATGTACTCTTTCAAGATGAATGTTCTGGTTGTGGTAATAATGATACAATAATATTTATTGAGTGCATGTTATGTGCCAGGTGCTATGTAAGCACTTGAGAGCATTATTATCTCAAGGTCAGGTCCCATCCTCAGGTGTGAGAAGACAAATGACGAGCCCATTAAATAGACGAGGAAATGAATGCTGGAGAACTGGGTGGTTTGCCCCAAGTATCTGCCAAGGGGCAGAGCTGGGATTAGAACTTGACCTCCTAGCTGCTGTGCTTTACTGAGGAGAGGAAGTGCCCACTGAGCTGCATTCTGTGCGGTGGCCCACATACTGGTTTCCCGGACCCCAGACACTGGTCTGACAATTACTGTTGAGAATTCACCTGATGAGTCCGGGAACTTCAGTTCCCCAGGGAACAGGCCCAGACACTGGCAACACAAAGCGACCATTAGAATTCTGAACTTTGTCCTTTAGAAATATGGACACCTGGAAAAAAATACACTCATGTCATTTTTCTTGGTATATTTTCACAGACATAAGCACTGTGAGGATGGAAAGTATGTAATGGGTTGGGAATGTTACCTAGTGAGTTATAACAGTAAGAGGAAAACTCACCGTAGCTAACACCTGCAGAGTTATAGTGTTTTTATAAACAGAACCTCTTTGGAGCCTCACAGCAAATCTTCTAGGTGGGGTATATTACCCCTGTTTTAAAGATGAGAAAGTTGAGGGTTGGAAAGTGAAGTGACTTGCCCAGAAACAATGATAAGAGACAAAGTTGAGATTCAAAACCAAGGCTGACTCCAAATTCCACACCCAGCCCTTGGTTCCATGTAGCTGTGAGGCTTGAGCTGCAAGAATCTCATTATTCCATTTTACAGATGAGGAATCGGCAGCTCAGAGGTTAAGACACTTCCTCAAGGTCAGGCAGCTCATAGAGGCAGAAGATTCAAACTGGTCCTTGTGTTTCTGATTCTGGAGCACGAGCTCTTAGCCATGTGCTGGACTGGTGAGCAGGGGCTGGAGTTGGCAAATCCAGTGGCAATTGTTTGAAGGCTTTATATGTGACTGAAAACACCATATATGCTTATATCTGCTCCCGGGTTTGCATTGAGATCTTGGTCAGACTAAATCCCATGCATATGGTAGCAGTTAATCAGTTTTGTTGGAAATATTTGTTAGATTGGTTTTCCAGGCATGATATATTTCCTAGTGGAGTGGATAGTGGAGTGGAGGTATAAGGAATAGTCCATAGAGGCAAAGGTGGAACAATGTTTTCCAACAACTGAAACAATGGAGAGAACATGAGGAAAGTGCATGATAGAAGGATGTGTGAACAGGAATGAGAGTGCGGGAGAGGGTGACCTGGCCTGAGGGGCCTATCCTTTAGGAGGCAACTCTGGAGGAGTTCTGGAGGGCTGAAAGGGGTTGGAAATGGAGAAGGTTGTAAGTAGCTGTTCAGGATTCCAAATGGAATTGGTCTTTGGGCAGTCTCTTTGTCCAGGCCCGGAGAGCAGGGCAGGGCCTTGAGCACATTATAGCACTTCAGGTGTCCGTGATATTGCAGAACGCTTTGGATATCAGATGAGGAGTTCTGATTAAACAATGGGCAAGGAAATGTTAGATTAGAGCTGTGTTTTCTTTATTTAGTTAGTTGGATTTGCTAGCAAATCAAAGCTAAAAACAATCAAGACTGTGTTGAAAACAGAGAAAATCTGCATAGGCAATCACAAATTGCAGTCGAGCAGAAATACCATTAGAGACCAGACTTGGAAAACCAGCCAGATGCTGCATGCAGATCAGTGGCTGAATCCTGCCAAGAGGTGGGAATCCTATTTCTCTTGATGAATGTTCTGATGTTTCATTGCTTTCCCATTTAGCAATTAAAGCTTAATATATTTTACTGTTTAATATATTTTAATGATTTTGTTACAGACTTATTATTAGGAGTGTGTTTTCATTATAGTGAATTTTATCTTGTCAGACTTGAGAAATCATTATGGCTTCTTATGTTACTACAATTTATAAAATAGCGTCCAAATATGCAGCCTTGATAACATGATGTAAAATTTTCAATATTTTAAAGCAATGCAAAACTTAATCTTATTTGTGCTTTCATATTTTAAAATCAGTGACTATTAGAGATCTTAATTTATATTGATGTTTTATTGCTCCATCCATAGCAAATAGAATTTTTCATTAGGATTAAAAATAAAACTGGCCTCAGAGTTGAAGTCTATTTCTCTTCTCAAGTCCATGGAAGGGAAATAACAATCAGGGGCTAGACATATTCTAGTTGTTCTTCTTTTTTTTAAATTTTATTTTGTGGATATATTACACATGCATATGTGTGAAATTCAAAGGGTTCAAAGGGTGTACAACGGAACCTAAGCCTCTCTCATGCTCCTGTCCTCCAGGCAGTTTCCCACGCCCTGGGCAACTCCCTGACCAGTTTCTTGTCCATCCTTCAGAAGCACCCTGTACTATACATATATTGGCAAACACATTATATTACATACACTGCATCAGTGAGTCCTCCTAACAAACTCTAAATGGTTATTATCATCATGTTGAAGACACTCAGGCTCAGGAGAAGCAATCTGCCCGAGGTCATGGATCTGTGCTGCCTCAAACATGAGTTGTTGAACTCCAGAGCCTGGGCTCATTCTGCCATATCATCCATCTTTCCCACATCAGCATGTTAAATCACGGAGAGGAACAAAGTCCTGTCCAAGAGAGACAGGTCCCCAAATTCAGAAGTTCAGAAATATAATTTTACAGGTTAGGGTGTAGGATTGTATGGAGCAGACAGGACGGGGAGGCAGCAGCCAACAAGGAGTACAAGGGCCTGAGTTGGGCTGGTGGCGACAGGGATGGAAAGAGGGCGTGGACACTGAAAAGGCGGACTCTAGGGGCCTTAGAAGCCGTTAGATGAAGGTCAGAGAAGGGGAATCACAGGCGACACTCTGGTTCTGAGCCAAGTGAGTGAAGGAATGATGTTGCCCTCAAAAGAAATCAGGAAGCTGAGGCAGGACGTGAATTTTGGAGATGAGTTTGGGTACAGACATTAAATTGCAGGCATTGGTGGGCATCCTCGTGGAGAGTTTCAGGTGGAGATGTCGGTCTAGATGGCAGGGCTGAGGCAGGGTAGGGTAGAGGTTAGACTCAGGAGTGCCAGGTGAAAGAGCTGGAAAGGTGGGAGGGAAGCGATTTCTAAAGAGCAGGGGGTGGGTAGAGGCAGAAGGAGAAGGTTTGGAGACAGCAAGAGGGAGAGGAAGGAGGGAGAAGCACAGAGATGGATGAGGTAAGGGAAGGTCAGGATGGTATGACGCCATGCAAGTCCAGGAAAGGCGAGAGCTTCATGGAGCAGGAGGGCTGCCTCCTAACAGCATCAGATGCTGGAGAGGTCAACAAGACTACAGGTCTGGAAAAAGGCTTTGCAATTGAGACCAGGCTGGTGGCCTTGAGAACCCATTTCCTCTGGAGAAGGGAAGAAACCATGTTCTAAAGAAACATATAAGGTAACTGGGAAGGAGTAGCAGTATCAGTCTTCCTTGGTCCATTTAAAAACTGCTGGGATTTGTTATCAGAAAGTTGTTCATCATGGAGCCAAACACTGAGGACACCACTAACTGGGGAGCCTCAGTCCTTGTCTGCTTGGCACCCTGTTTCCCAAGGGCAGCAGTGGCAGGGTGCTCCTGGGGCCGCCCATTCACTCACCCGGATGTGCAGGTCCTGGAAGAAGGTGAGGAGCGTCTGCCGGATCAGCTGGAACTCCCCCGCAGAGAGACCCCGGTATGTCTGCCAGAGGCAAAGGGGCGAGAAGCAACTCACTTTCAGAAGTGAGATGAGATATGCAGAGAAGTAGGGGTAGGCGGGTGCTCAGGGATGGGACCATAAGCAAGGCCCTCGAGGACTCAGCTGCGGGGGCAGGAAGGGCAGCAGGAGAGCCATTATGCCTCACAAACCCCATTATGCCACACCGAGCAGGGGCACACCACTTCTCTACTCCACAGACCCAGAGAGAGGCTGTTCCCCAAGATGTAGCAGGACATCCACCACCAACCCCCTTTCCGAAAACTTAGGAGAAAATAGCTAGGCTCTGTATCATCACTTTCCCAGTTTTGAAGGCAACAGTTAAGACGTCCTGAGATGATAATGCCTCTTGTATTACTGAAATGGATACTTGGAGGTCTGTGGGATTTTCTGGGACAGTGGCAGGCTTTGCCATTCCTCGTTCTGTTCTCTCTGTCACAGACTCTTCCTGTTCTTTACAGAGGAATGAGAGTGAGTATTGGGGCTGAGAGGCCAGAAACTGAAGGAGTCTTACTTCAATCAGCTGCCGGAAAGTCTCATCCACTAAATGCAGGAGGGCTGGGTTGTCTTGGATGAATCCCTTGATGGCATCTAAATGGTTGAAAGTGACTAGCAACACATCCTTGGGACGGGGACACAGCAGTACTTGATATTTCAAAGCCATCGTCATCAGGTCATAGAGCTGCCAACCCATACACGGACAAAATAAATGGGATCATAAGAGCAGATGTCAGGACCTACACACAACGAAGCAGTCAAGCATTTACTGAAAACCAGTACTCATATGGCTGGTGATCATATCAGCTATCCCTCAAACCAGTACATCATATGGCTCAGGTGACCATATCAGCTATCCCTCAAACCAAGATACTTAAAAAAAATGTTTTTTAAAAAATATATCTTTATTGATTTCAAAGAGAGGAAGGGAGAGGGGGAGAGAGAGAAACATCAATGAGAGAATCATTGATTGGCTGCCTCCTGCACACCCCCTACTGGGGGTTGAGCATGAAACCTGGGCATGTGCCCTGACCGGGAATTGAACTGGGGACTTCTTGGTGCATGGGCCGATGCTCAACCAACTGAGACACACCAGCTGGGTAAACCAAGATATTTTTGAGAGTAAAAGGGGCGTGATATTAATAAGTAAGCCAGGACAACAGGGTTATACCTGGACAAACCAGGATTTCTGGTCAGCTTATTGCAGATGAAACATGTTTGAAACAATATTGGCAGCTGTGGGGCCCTGGATCGGGTGCTGGAGTTGGAGAGCAATATCCCAGAATCAAGCCCTCCGTTGCCTGGCCAAGTCTTCTCACCTCTCTGAGCTTGAGTTTTCTCATCCGTAAAAAATAGTCTCAAATGCAGCTAAAGAAGTGCTAAGAGGGAAATTTACAGCAGTTAGATGCCTACATTTCTCTAATTGATACCTAACCTTTCACCTTAAGAAACTAGAAGAAGAAGGTCCAACCAAGGAGAAGGAAAAAAAAAGGGTGGAGCAGAAATCAATGAAACGAAGCATTGAAAAGCAGCAGATAAAAATCAATGAAACCAAAAGTTGGTTCTTTGAAAAGATCAACAAACCTTTAGCTAGACAATGAATAATTATTTACTTAGACTGACCCAAAAAATGAGAGAAAACTAAAATTACTAAAATCAGAAATGAAACAAAGGACATTACTATTGACTGATGGGAATAGTCTCTAATTATAGATAGTGGTGATGGTTATACATTATGAGTATACTAAAAACCGCTGAACTGTACACTATAAAACAGCGTTATGTGAATTATGCTTAATTTAAAAATGGCAAAAAGATATACAAAACTAGCTGTGGAAAAGACATTAAAGAATAAAGGGTTTTTGCCCTGGCTGGGTGGCTCAGTTGGTTGGAGAGTCCTCCCATGCACCAAAAGGTTTCTGGTTTGATTCCTGGTCAGGGCACATGCCTGGGTTGTGGGCTTGATCCCCAGTCGGAGTGTGTGCAGGAGGCAGCCAATCGATGTTTCTCTATCCCCCCCTCAAATCAATAAAAACATATTAAAAAATGTATTGGCTTAACTTAAAAAAAAAATCAGAGTGCCCTAATAACTTGTTTCCCCCAGAGATAGATATGTTCATGTTATAAGTAAATACTGAGCAGTTTTGAATTTCCTTTAAAAAAATGCCTGGTTGTTACAGCCGGTATTTGTCAAGAATGAAGCAAAATTAAAGTTTTTAGGGTTGGGTTAAGGTGTTCATAAATATGGGCATGAAGACCAGCACTCTCTTTGGGCAGGTGAATGACATAAACAATAGAGGGATTGGTGAGGGTGACTTCTGAGGTCCTTTCCAACTCTGAAACTCAACAACTAGTATTTACAAGGCCATCTTTTTTGCAAGAGAGCACTGCATATGTCATCTCATTTGATTCCAGTCTACAATCATCTACAAAAGATGCAAGAAATGCAATCAAGGGGATAGAGGCAATGGTCTGCTCACCTTATCCATGCTGGCCTGGTTCAGTCTCATAATGGAGGCATGAGCCAGGCGGTCATAGATGGTCCTGAGGGCCTTCTTGGAGTAGAGCTCTTGGGGTTTGAACAGTTCCTCTACAAAGTTTTTATTGAACATGGTTAAGATGATGTCATGAAGAACTGTAGAGACAAGAGAGAATACAGGTAAGCAAGGCTACTGGAGGAAGCTTTACTCGGGAAACGATCTCTGTGCACAAATGGGATGGAGGAGCCAGGCCTATGCAGAGTGGGGATGCTGATGCGCTTGGTGAGCTCTGCTCCCTGGGGCCATCTGAGAGTAAATGTAAATGTGACAATGTACAAATGTGTTGTGCTTCAGAGGCTACAAACCATTTTTACATACTTATCTCACTTGATGATAGGGGAAATGTTTCTTCTTTCTTTAAAAAAATATTCCTATAACATTTTAGATTAGATTTCTTCCTTAACATGAGAAATAGCATCACTCTTTTGTTGTTTGTTTAGCAAATCTATAACATTTTTACTTAAATCGACAAGTTTACTCACTGGTTAGAGATGAAAACATTTCTAATGTTTCTACAAGACGTGTACTTCAGATTAGCACTGTTTTAGAATGCCTTGATTTTTACATCTGACATATAATACTGATATTACATAGTAGTGCTATGTCTCATACTGTTGTTCAAATGGAAAACTTTCATTTAGTGAGAATAAAAGGTCCTAAGATGTGTGCAAACCAAAGTGTCTATAATTCTAGTTCTTCATTCACTCATTCAGATATTTTTTTGCTACTCAAATATCACTAGTTGAGGGCTAGAAAAACCCTCTGGTACAAGAAACAGAAACAAGTATGGTTGAACACAGATTCTTCTTCTTTTTTTAAAAAAATATATCTTTATTGATTTCAGAAAGAGGAAAGGAGAGGGAGAGAGAGATCGAAACATCAATGATGAGAGAGTCATTGATTGGCTGCCTCCTGCAGGCCCCTGACTGGGGATCGAGCCCGCAACCTGGGCATGTGCCCTGACTGGGAATCGAACCCCGATCGCCTGGATCATAGATTCACGCTCAACTGCTGAGCCACGCCCGGCTGGGCCAGATTATTCTTAATTAAACCATATATATTCTTGCCTAACAGCAAGAGTATATGGATGCTGAGAATATACATTTATAGTATTTAAATTTGAAAGAAAATTGGTTATTTAAAATAATTACACAGAATCAGTTATTAATCATGAGTGATTATTACTGAAAGATACAAACGCCTCTTTCTTTTGCCATATAAAGGACACACCAGGTATTGGCTGTGGCCATATATCTTAGAGAGTGAAGGCAAGGTAGAGCATTGAGGCCATGATTTCTGGCACTCTCTCTACCTTTAAGTAATTGTTAGAAGTACCCTGAAGGCTCAGGTCAGCATTTTAAAGCATTTCAAAGAGCATTTTTTGGGGGGTAAGCAGAGGGAGCTCAGGGCTGGTTGTATTTAAATCTTTATTTTTTATTTTTGAATTTATTGGAGTGATATTACTTAATAAAATTATGTAGGTTTCAGGTGTACACTTCTATATATATTTAAATCTTAAATGGAAGGGCTACAGAGACGGGAGAAGGGAGAATGGGGAAGGGACCCCCCCCTCACTTGACAGAAAGAGCTAACATCACTCCTTACACTTGAACTCACATTTGACCTTTAGATTTTATTCTGGACTCCTTCCTATCAGTGAGGAAGAACCAAGTCCATTACCAACACAGGCTGTCCCTCACATCTGACAATTTCAACCCATCACAGCTTGCCCATAATGCACACTAACGTCCCCAAGGGACAGCTTAGAGACACAGCTCTTCCAGGCTCGCCTTCTGCCTTCGACCTAGACAAGCAAGGACCTGAGGTAAGCTGGGCTTTCTAACATTTTCCTTACTGCAGCCTATATGAAATGCAGAATTTATAAGGAAATGGGTAAAACTGAAAAGTCACACATAAGGTCTTGAAGGAGAGAATTTTCCACAGATTTATGTAGGCTGGGGAGGAGTGCCAGAGAGAAAACTCGGGTCTTTCAGTCCTTAGGGGAGTCTCAGAAAATAGCTTGGGCCCAAAGAAATCGGTTCTAAAAGAAAGAAAGTCGCAAGGAGATTGTTAGCCACTCTGGCAAAGTAAAAACGAGACTTTCCCTCTGGGAAGTGAGTAAGCGACATACCACCATGGCACAGAAGGCCCTGGAAAGTCTCCTGGTTACAAAGAGAGCACAGCAGGCCCTGTCCCTGTGGGCAGAGCAGTGACCACAAATGCCCCCAGGGAGAAAATGGCAGTTCTATGGTTGGGCCCCAGTACCCAGGTTCCCACCTCTCATATAATTCTTTGGAAAGAACATGGGGGCACAGATGAACATGCCTCCATCTCTCCACGCTTCACCTCACACTTGGTTGAGGCGGGCCTGCTACGCACCAGACACTGATGAACACCAGGGCGCAAAGAGGAAGGAGATGTCCTTAGCCTGGAGAAGCAGCCAGGTCATATTGACGTGAAACCCGAGAAACAGGTTCAAACACCTGTCAGTCTATCTCAGCGTTAGTGCTGAGCACTCACATGAGCTTTGCATAAGTTCACGAGGCAGGAACATACTAGGAACCAGGTTTCATCAGGAAGAGACTAAGGCCAGGGAGCAAAGTGACTTTTCATAGGTACATTCTGAGCTCAGATTATGAAGCTAGTGTCTGCTCATTATTTTTGAATGCTTAAATATAAACTCCAGTGATTCAACTATGTATACAAGGCCCTCAAAATCCACACTTCTCTCCTGGAATTCTGCCACACATCAGGAGGTGGGTCAAAACTGCTCACAGTGAGTGGCCAAAGATGGTTGTGAACTATAATAAAAGCATATCAAGCACTCCAATTGGGCTTTTCTCTGAGCCTGGCCTGATGAAGTAATTCTCTTGATGAAAGCAACTGAGTATTTACTAAACCTCTGTGGTAAATTTAATTGTTTATGGGAACATGCAATTTGGAACACAGGGTAAAAGAGAGAAGCTACTACTTCTGGATGTTTCAAGTCCTACTATGTTCCAGGAGCTGGGCTCAGAACCTTCCATGCATTACCTCATTTAACCCCCCAAGACAACTCTGAATTATTATCTTTATTCTCTCCAGGAGGAAAACCGAGTCTTAGAGAGGTTAAAGTCCAAGGTCACACAGCTAGTGGTGGAGCTGAAATTAGAATGGGGCTGTTTGATTCTACTGTGTGTGCTCTTAAATATTATATGTTATCTTCTCAGCATACTTGGTGTGGCGAGAGCATTTAAAACACTGAGGACGATGGCTGATGACATGCATAAACTGCACCCAAATGTCAAATGATGAGAGGCACTCGTGACGCTTAGAGATGAGAAAGGCTAAGGTTTTGCTCTGAGGACCTGGCGGCTTTTTCAGGTTTGCTGCTAGTGGTAGGTCCAGGGGAAGCTGGAGATCTGGCACGACAGGGCCACACTGCATGCGTATCATGCCTCTGCCCGCAGTCCTGGCAGTCATGCAGCCACATGCTTCCATTTTCCTCGGCTGCTCTGTGTGCTCAGGAGAAGGGTTCAAGGATGTCACTCATGTTGAACCACAATTCTCTGGTTACATGATACTATCACAGAATTGCTTTAAGGACTATACAACAGGACAGCCTACCCAGAGCTCTAGCTACTGCCCCAGTTGTCCCCACAAAGCCTAGAATTGATGAAGAGAGAAAAAGGTACCTCAGGCCCAATGTGGTTCTTGTGCCTAAGTTTGCCTGGTTTTCATCTTACATGCTGTATTTACGTAACAGATTCAAATAGATAACCAATGTCTTGGCTAAAGAGAAACTCATGCCTATTTTTTTACTTTAAAATATTTAGAGTGGTCCCCATTTAAGCCCCATTGATAAAGGACTGAGTGAGCCTGTGGATGCAGACTGAACACATGCAGCCCAGAGATAGCATACCTCGTTTTCTGTCCACCTCTGTCCATTCATCTACATGAAGCATATAAAAAGAAAACACCAGTTCATGAAGCAAAAACGTCATTTTCAAGGAGGCTTTAAAACTAGCAATTCCAGTGATCTGGTCTATGAAACTTTATTTTTCACGTTTGCCTTAATGTCTAATGTGAATATTCTGCCTTCCATGTGAAACTTTTAAAAGGATGACGGATAAACAAGTTCCAAAAAAGCCCTAGAGAGGCTCCATCTTTTAGACAGTGGCCTAGGAGGAGAGGTAACTCAGAATGGCTGGCTACCCTGGGGTTTGTCTTGAAAAGCTCATGAAGTCATCCTCTCTAATGCTGTGAGAATATATGTTATTCAAAATACACCAACTTCCCCGAGAAAGAATAATACCAGGGACAGGTAGACAAGGGAGTTTCTTTTTGTATAACCTGATTTTTTAGTAATGTAAGATTTCCCTTTCTAGAGTACAGATGGAACTGCTCAAATGAGAAAACTGGAAATGTGAATTAAAAAGAAAAAAATGCCTATTTGTTTCTGATTTTTTTTTTTAATATATATCTTTATTGATTTCAGAGCGAGGAAGAGAGGGGGAGAGAGGAGATAGAAACATCAATGATGAGAGAGTCATTGATCAACTGAAGCCTGCAACCCGGGCATGTGCCCTGACCGGGAATCAAACCCCGACCTCCCGGATCCTAGGTTGACGCTCAACCGCTGAGCCACGCCGGGCTGGGCTGATTTACTTTTTATACACAGATGTGTGACTTCCAGGTAAAAAGAGGGGGGGTGATGCCTGGCCGGGTGTTGAGTGGCTCAGCGGTTGAGTGTCAACCTAGGATCCAGGCGATCGGGGTTTGATTCCCGGTCAGGGCACATGCCAGGGTTGCGGGCTCCATCCCCAGTCAGGGGTGTGCAGGAGGTGGCCGATCAATGACTCTCTCATCATTGATGTTTCTATCTCTCTCTCTCCCTCTCCTTTCCTCTCTCTGAAATCAATAAAGATATATTTAAAAAAAAACAAAAACAAAAAAAGGACTTAAAAAAAAAAAAAAAGAGGGGAGTGATGATGGGCCCACGGTAAAGGAAACTCCTGACAACAAAAGCAGTTGCGGGAAACAAAATAAGGAACAATGTACTTGACTAGAGAAATCTGTAAGAATTAATATCCTTTATGGGTTGAGAGCCGGCTCTACCATTTACTAGCTATATAATTTTCAAGCAACTTGTTTAGCCTCCGTTTCTTCATCTATAAAATGGGGATCATAATTGAACCTACCTCACAAGGTTGTTGTGGGGATGAAATATGAAATATCACGCACTTAGCTGGCTGCTCTTCTAGTTCCCTTTTCTCTACTGAAAGACATTGGACACCACCCATAAAGGATGAAAGATAACTTTTTTCTTTATTTTTTTGGGAGATTTCAATCTAGAAAAACCACTCCCAGATAAACAGAGTTCTATACACACCCACATTTTAAAAACATTTTGTAATTAATGGTCCCCCTTGGAAACATTTGCCACTAGATTGTTTCAAAGGTGATTTCTGCAGTTATATCAAAACATGTATGTGTCTTTGTGCACAATACCAATAGGTCCTAAGAGGCCAGTCTGGAAGCACAGCCAGTGCTGAGCCCTAACTGGCTGCAAAGGGTTCCCATTGTAAGGTCAGACTCCTCTGGGAAAATTCACTGTCTTTCTCCCACAAGAGTTATAGGCTTTTGGAAAGAAAACACTGGGGAAGCAGCACCAAGAGTCAGGTCTTCTTAAAGCAGATACTGGCCTCCGTAGCACAATGTTGTGGCATTTATTTACAGGCTGTCTTGCCTAATAGGCTTGTGGGAATTCAGAAAGGTGGAGTTGCTACCCTCTTGAAGGTGTGTTTGGGAAAAGTGGTGCTGCAAGGGGCTCACCTACTCTAGGGACAGTGACTAAGGGCTGCTGACAAAATGGAGCTGGCAAATGCATGCCTGGGGTACAAGGCATTCCCCCAGGCAATGAGGCTCAGCTCCAGCAGAGGTCTCTGCGGTGCTGTGTGCTCCTGGCCCCTTTCCACTGGAGGATCTAGGGGAAGATAAATGACGTCCTGTTTTTCTATCATTTCTCCGGATGACTTGTTTGTGACAATCCCACTTTAGTTACATTTTGAGTGGGAGGCATGCCCAGGGCTATCCAGAGCTGCCTGTTCAATTGGAACTAGAAAAATAACAACAGAACCTCACCACCATTTGGTTGCTCAGTACTACACTGTGATCTTCACGTACGGGAAAAAAAATCAATGAATGGCTTTATGCCCCAGTTTCTCTTCTGCAAAGTGAGGAATGCAAACAAAATGTATTAGGGTCTTATTTATGAGTATTTTTAAGAGGACAGGAGTGAGGCAAAAGCAGGTTTTATTATTCTCACTATTGCTTAAAATGTGGGACAACATTCAACATGCAACACTCAGAAGTTGCTCCATAGAGAGAGCACTTCCTTTCTGTTGAATGCTCAACCAGAGGCCACACTGTGGGGAAAACTGCACTATCTGTACTCGCCTTGTGGGAGCAGGATGGCCTCCAGGAGACCAATTAGTTGTATAAGAAAATGAAAACATCTAGAAGAAATATGGTTTCCATTCAAAGCTTCAACGAAGACTAGTTTACTGTGTCTGGTGTTTTATAGGTCTCTGTGCACAGGCTTTGTCACAGTAGCTCCTGCTTCCTGCAGCTACACCAACTCCAAATGGTGGCACAGATTAGTTTTTCAACTTTGAATCCCGCACTGCCAACCCTGCTTTTTTTTACTCTGTCTTCTACAAGAGGCCATCAGCCAACTATGGTACTTTCTGTCATTTCTGAAAAAAATCAGTGGGTATATTGGATTTTTTTTTCAAACCTCTCCCTCTCCTTCCCACCTCCCAACCCCCACAAAGATTCTGGTACAGTAACCCCCAGGTATGGAAGTATAGTGCAGCGGTTAAGGACATACTGCTTAAGAGTATGAGTTTTAGAGCCCGATGACCTTTGTTCAAATCCTTTACTCTACCTCTTACCATCTATGTAACCCTGGGCCAATTAGTTTCCCCATCTGTAAAATGGGGATAGTAGTATTACCTACATGATAGGATAGTTGTGGGGATTAAGATATTCAGGGAGGCCCTTGGTTCATGGTAAGTATATAATAAATGTTTGTTGTTGTTGTCATTAAGAAGATATGTCCTCCAGTTTTAGAATCAGTTACTGAACCAGACTGATCAAAAGCGCTACCTCCAGTGAATGGGAAGAAGGGCTGGATCATGCTCCACCCAGCATCCCACATGTTGTCTGACACTTATCCCAACTGCAGAAGTAATGAGTGTGTAAATGTGAATTACCAAAGATGGCTGACACTCCCTTAAGCTGTATCTAGCAAACCTTGAAGGACTACAGCTCCTGAAGACAAAGGAAGCTAGTCCCCTAGTATTCATAAGGTCTTGCCCAGACCTCCTCTTGAAAGAAGGTATCTGCTACATGTTGTGCTAAATATGTTAAATACGTACATGATCTCATTCAATCCTTACAACTTTGCTATACCGTATGTATTATTATTCCCATTTTATGGAAAAAGAAACAGGATTATAGAAGTTACATTCTAAGGTTATACAACTGGTTAAAAGGCAAAGCTGGAATTGGGACCCATATCTGTATGACTCCAGAGAGCATGCCCTTTTACACTGCCTTCCAAGATGCAGACTACCCATCCAAGAACTACCTGCCAACTCACTAATACCACTAGCCCAAATGAAATCACACACATAGGCAGCAAGGAAAACAGAACCCTCTTGAGGAAGAAGCGGCAACATTACATAAAACAGTGAGTTCAGATCATCAGTTCAGCATTTACTGAGCACCAACCTGTTCTGATCCAGGTATTATACTAGGGGCTGGGGTACAAAAATGACTAAGACAATCATGGGGGAGACCATTACAGGGTAATATGGCCAGTGATAAGGTAGAGAGGCATGTATGGGTGCTATGGGAGTATGTGCAGGCCCTTTCCCCATGTGGGAAAGGACAGGAATTTTAAGCTGAAAAATGCAGGACAAAAGGGGAGTTACTAGCATGGAAATGAGAGATTTGGGGTTAGAATGGGGATTACTAGCATGGAAACAGAAATTAACATGCTTTAAATGGAGACCTACAAGCACTTTGGGATGAAGATACAAAGTAGGAGGCAGGCAGGCAGTGGTGGAAGGTGGGACTGCAGAGGTGGACAGAAATCAGATGAGGAAGGGCCCTGAAATGTCTTGGCCACCATCCAGACAGCAGTGGAAAGCTGATAGAGGGTTTTAAGTGGCAGGGGGTATGAACAGATTTGCATTTTAGAAAGCTCACTGGCAGCACTGTACAGAATAAATAGAGGGGGTGTGCTATAGGGAGTGCTTTTTATCTCTTTATGAATGGACTTGGACTCAATCGCACAGACCCAATAGTGAATATCTGAATATGTATGGGTAACATCGATTGAGCATACAGATACTGTCGGAGAGAATAAATATTTTAATCAGTGGCCATGTCAGTTATCTTTATATCAACCTTTCTTCCTCAACCTTGAAATATAATATTTAATCTCAGGAAGGCTGGTGAAAGCAGTTGTTGGTTGAGAAAGGAGGAAAAGAGGGAGAGGAAAAAGGTGGCAGAGAGTTCTGGGTGTTCATTTCTCTGGGGATGAGGTGTATATGGGAGACAGATTTTGCCTTTTAGAAACTCTCATAATTATTTCCACAATTGTATTCTCTTCCAACAATTGCGAAGGAAAAGAATTAGAATTTCCTTATGTATTCTTATTTATCTATGTTATCTCAGGACCTCACCTTTCTAGAAATAGCTTCTGAAATGAGTAAGACTGGCTTCCAGTTTATGAAGGAGGATACTACACAGAAGAATGGAGAATCTGAACCTGTTCCATGGGGGGAAGGGGGGGGTGCTTGGACTAGCAAAGGGCATGCTGCCAGGCGGGGGGAGGCCGAGCCTCCTACATTTGGGAGGGAACGGTTGTCAAGAGAGATTGGGGAATCACCTCGCCGATTTGAGGGCGCGAGGACACTGGGGAGGGGGCGTGAGGTAGTGGAGTAATATCCAATGAGGGTATTAAATCCCTCTGCCGTGAAAAGATCTTTTGGGGAATTCGACTCCTGAGGGGCTCTGGCTGGGTGGGGCTGTGGACGCTGCGAGACGGGTCCCTGGCTCTAAGGGGCAGCGCGGGGGTGTCGATCAGTCTGTAAGGGGCGGGCTGTGGGGCCGGGGGCGCGCGGTGCGGGGCCGGCGTCTCTCACCTCTGCGGGCCTTGTCTCCCGGGATGTTCTGGGCCCGCAGCCGCTGGTCCAGGATGTAAAGCATCTCCCCGCCCAAGTTCAAGAAGAGCAGCGGCAGCGTCCGCATCGACATGATGCTGAAAGCCCTCAGAGCAGGCGAAGAGACCCGAGGCTGGGCACCCAGAGACCTGGAGGCCCAACCACCGCGTCTTCGTAACCTGGTTGCTAGGGCAACACGGCGACGGCTCAAGGAGCCAATCAGCAGGTCATTTGTTAGGAGGCGCCCGGGGGAGGACGCTTATTGGGCTGGGTGCCCGAGACCTACGAGGTGGATTGGTCCGAGCCGGAGGCGGGGTCGCCGCGGGCCGTGGGCCCCGGGCCGGGAGCGCTGGTTTTGACTTTCTGAAGCCGTGTGGAAGGGCGGGGGCCGGGCAGGGGTGGTGGGCTGCAGGGGCTGGCGCAGAGGAAGAGGTGACCACCCCTCACTCAGCCCGGCTGCCCGCGCAGGTTCCCGAGAACGGGGAAAACCCAAGGGAAACTTGAGAGTAGTCTCCGAGGAGAGGGACCTGGGTTTGAGCCTTGACTCCATTTCCTGGCGCTGGGACTTTGCGCAGCCGCGTAGAGGCCTTGCTTCCTCATACATTGGAGAGGACACCCATCGCCCAGGGTTGCTGAGGAATCAGTGAGACCATGCCAAGTGCCATGAAAGCGCTTATAAAATGGTTACTAACTTTTCTTTGAGATGGGGGAAGGGTCAGAAGTTCTTGAATTATTTGCATTTCCTCCCTAAAAGCTACTTGGAGCGAAGCCCCACTTGGCTTCATATTGCATGAAGCAAACCAGGCTCGTTCCTGTGGGTCTGCTCCTGGAGGGCGTGCTGGGGGCTCTGAAGCTCCCTCCTCCCAGCTGGCCTCCCGTCCATGCCCCTGCTTTGAGGGCAGTGAACCCATCCTTCACTCCCATCTTGAGCTCCAGGATCACCTTCCTGTCACTGGCTGCAGTTACTTGATGAGCAACCATTTCTGTAAATTTTAAAACCTACTAACATTTCCCCTCCAGCCACTCAAGACTTGAAACCTAAGCCTTGGTTTCCAACTCTATCACCCTTGGGCCTATTATCAGTCACCAAATTCTGCTTTTTCCAGCAAAATCTCTCATATTTTCCCCTTCATTTCTTTTTTTTTTGTTAATCCTCACCCAACGACATATTTTCCATTGACTTTCTGAGTGGAAGGGAGGAAGAGACAAACATCGATGTGAGAGACACATTGGTTGCCTCCTGCTTGTGCCTGGACCAGGCTGGGAATCTGCAAACCCAGGTATGTGCCCTTGACTGGGAATTGAACCTGTGACCCTTCAGTGAGCTGGCTGATGCTCCAACCACGAAGCCACACCAGCCAGGGCATCCTCTTCATTTCTCTGTCTGCATCACCATGTTCCTCTATATTACTGCTATTTTCTCTCCTCCACCGGCACTGGCTGCTAGGCTAAATTTCAGAAGACACCACTTTCAACATGACATATCCCTTCAGTGGCTTCCTGCCGTTTGCTAGATTGCTGTGGCATGGCATTCAAGGCACTCCACTCTGTCTCCAACTACCTTTCTAGAGACATCTCCTATACTCCCCTGGTCTCACCCAGCAGCCAGCCAGCCAGTCATACTTCCTCTGTGCTGCTGTGCTCAGTCTCACCTCCACTGAAACACCACCTGGATGACAGGGACTTGCGTATGTGTGAGGTATTATGCAAGTGTGTCCTCTGATGTGAGGGCTGGGACTCTGCCTCAGACAACCCTTGGATCCTAGAGCTGAATGAAAGAATGAATAAATTCCTCCTCCTCAGGCCACAAAGAGCCCTTCCTACTATTTTTCAAGGCAGAAAGATACAACTTTAACAAAATTTATTGGTTTTCCTTGATTTCCTCTGGTCCAGCTTTGGAAGAGCTTTCTGGGTTCATCTGGCCTTGTTTTCGGGCTGCTGCTGCTGCAGCTTTTAAGGCTCTTTTTTGCTTCTTCAGCTTTTGAACCTCCTGGTAAACCTGGAGATGGAAGGGAGCAGGAAGAGAGTTTGTAATCCTATGTAAAACCTCTGACTGGGAGCAGATGGGCTGGGAACTTACTCCCCCAGCTGGTCACCCCAGCCTTTCTCCATGGGGTTGGTGGCCATGCCTTTATCAGGAACCGATGACCCCTCCCTTCTGGTCTTTCCACCACAGTCCCAGAATGGGGCCAACCAAAGCATCAATTTGGACTCATACCCGAATGCACAGAGCCTTCTTGGTCACCCAGCGGCGGTGGGCTTTTCGGTGGTACAGAGGGGGAAAGGTGTACTCAATCCCCAGGTCCTTGCATGTCTTCTCAAAGACATTGTAGTTGGTCTTACGGAGGTTTTTGAGCATCTTTTTCCTCTGGTCAATGCTCATCAGCAGATATCGCTTGTGGGCTTTGTCCTGTAAGAGAGTTAGTGATCCTTTCAGTATTATATAAATGAGTGGTATGCCACTTCACAGTAACAAAGAATAGTCATTTCATCATCTCACTGAAACCTCTCAACAATCTCATGCAAATACTAGTGCAACTCTGAGGTATTGTTATTTCCGTTTTACAGATGGGAAAATAAAGGCTCAGCTCTAGCTGGTTTGGCTCAGTGGCTAGAGTGTTGGCCTGCGGACTGAAGGGTCCTGGGTTTGGTTTGGGGCAAGGGCATGTGCTTCAGTTGCAGGCTTGATTCCTGGCCCCAGTCAGGGCACGTGTGGGATGCAACCCATCAACGTTTCCCTCTCTCTTTCTCCCTTCTACTCTCTCTGAAAAGCAATGGAAAAAATATGCTCGGGTGAGGATTAAAAAAAAAAAGAAAATAAAGGCTCAAAGATGTTATCAGTCTTGAATATGGGTGGATCTACTGGTCTTCTTCCAAATCTCATGCTCTTTCCCTATACTACCCACTCAGCCGCTCCACAGCTCATCAAACTGTCAGATGGAGTAGAAAGGAGGGAAGAACTTTCACTTTACCCACAGCCAGGTGCTGCTCCATGAAAAAATTTTGCAGTGGGGCTGGTGTTCCACACTCCAGAACAAAACTCTGACCTCTAAGGAACAGGCTCATCCAGCTCCCGAGAACACTGAGATGCCAGCCTGGAGCTGGACTGGTCTGTATTCACAATGGTGTATTTATTAAAAATACCAGCAACTGCCTAATTACAGCAGCTCTGTGCCCAACACTGTGCTGAGATATGGCATAATGGTTGAGAATATGGGCTCTGGAGTGAGCCTACCTAGTTTCAAGTCCTAGCACATCATTTCCTAGTGCTGTGCCTTGAGGAATAACTTAACCACTCCACACCTAGATTATTATTCTGTAAAATGGGTATGAAGGTTAAATGAGCTAGTGCATGTAAAATATTTAGGAAGAGGCCTAAATACTTTATTTGCACTGTGTTGGCTGCTTTTATCTCATATAGTCCTTACAATCCTGTCAGTAGGTACTATTATGATCTGCATTTTATGGATAGAACTGAGGCTCAGACATGTAAAGTTACTTTCCCAGAATCACATAACTAGTTAAGTGGAAATGATAGAGCTGGGATTTGAACCCAGAGCAATCTGACCCTATTCATGCATTCAACAAATATTTACTGAGCATCCACTATGTGCCCGACACTAACCATGCTCTCAAGTTTGTGTTTTTGACCATTGGTGACACTCAGCACAGTCCTGGAAGGCTTCCATTTTTCTACTGGAGACAGGAGGGAAATGTTTTCCCCATTGCAGCTGAGGGGTGGGCACTCTGGTGTTGTAGCCTCCTGGCATCTCAAGCTGCCTCTTTGGACCCAGAGCCCTTTCCCTCTCAGACTTCTCTGCCCCGGCTACTGGTATTTAGCTGTGAGCGATGCTCAAGGCTTACCTTTCGATGTTTCTGCATGTGTTCTTCATAATTGCGGATCTTGACAGTCAAGGCAACAACTGAAACCACAAACCACAGAGGATGAGAGCCAGGCACAGGGGAAGGAAGGGCCCAGGCCTCAGTTATGTATTAAGAACTCAAGGAATAACAATCACCAAGGCTCTTGTACAGCTCTCTAATTCTCGAAGCATCTCAAAAGACTGGATTATCTTTGCTTTTGAAAGCAAGGCCTAAGGAAGAAAAGCTTCTTAATCTTATAAAGGTATCATCCTCAAATCATAGCAAATAGCATTTTTACTGTAAAACTTCAGGGCATTCCTATTAAATTCAGGAATTAGTCTAGGATGCATGCTATCATGGTTAATGGTTCAACACTGCACTGGAGGTCCTAGCCAATGCAATAAGATCAAATTCCCAATCTGCCAAGGGTCTGATCCTTGCCTCTCTCAGTCCAGCTACCACCCTTATCTCTGTGTTTTTACTAATGAATTTTCAGAGTTATCAACTCCCACTCATTTCCTAAAGCCCCAGAATATCCTTCCTCAGGTATCCCCTTGTTTGATTCCTGCAAAGATGGGGGCAAAGGCAAAAGCAGGTGACCCCAAGGAGAGGCTGTAACTATGGCAGGCCCTTCCTGTACACACATTGAGTTCTGGGAGCACTCAGTGCACTGGGAACCTTTGTTCTGACCACATGGCCTGTTCATACCACCTTAGCTGCAGAGTGGAGAGAGATAGAGACAAAATTTGGGTTCCTGAGGAAACTTACCTGAGCTCACATAATAGTAGGAGGCAGGACTTGGGCAATTCAGAATACACAGTCCAGTTTTCATTACCCGTGGTCCTTCCTGTCTCTCCCTTTAATAAGCCACATCTAATCCCTAGTGTACTTGCAGATGAGTGACCTGGATCAAGTACCAGCTAGTAGACTCCCCTGTACCCCCACTCCCCAAGGGCCCCCTGACCAACTTCGAGCCTCCAGGGAACTGGTGTCCTCAGGGTTTGCCACAACCTTGTTCATCAATTGCTCTTGCTTGATTTTTAGCTTCTCCTTCTGTTGAAGATAGAGACAGAATTTGTGAAGTCTGCTACCCCATAAGAACTGGCCCTCACACCTCCAAGGCCATGGGCCGCAGTCACAGCCATAAAGCTCAGGGCCTGGCTTCTGGCCAACCACATGGCTATTCACATCTAGGTGAGCCCAAGGCCAATGCTACTGACAGGAGAAATGGCTTGTTGGATCAATGTCCCTAAAGCTTGCTCATTCATTCGGGCTCATTCGTTCAGGCATCAGATCTTTACTAAGCATCTACTGTTTGTCAGGTGCTAAGGGTATAATGGGGGAACAAGATTGTCCCTGCCCTTGAGATGTTCAGTCTTGAAGTATTAACAAGTAGACACAGAATGACACTGGTATAAATGCTGTTACTCAAGAAGCATGGGATGGGAGGTGTTACCATGACAGAAGGGAGTCCTAGAGGAGAAGGCTGAGGGAGGCCAAGGTTTGGCACAGGCCACTCACCCGGTTCGCCATTTCCAAAGATAAGATTCTTTTCACGACATCATCAACCCTGTGGAAAAATCACAGAAATGAGAGACAGATGTTGGGGGCAGAGGGGAAAGGGAAGCAATGCTGTTTCCATTTTAGTTTGAAAAGCAAAGATGATTAAAATTTTCATTCGCAACAAATGAGTCTCTCTGGAAGTTGGGAGCCATTTCCCACAGGTTAGAAACCAGCATACATCTAATTTGTGGGGCTGAGAACACAGAATGATGTGATAACTACAGAAAATTGAGGCTGTCAGTTCAAGTGTTCCAGGCTTGTCATAGGGAGGGCAAAGGGGGGAATTTCTGTTTTAGCTAGAATATGATTCAATCTGTCTTGAGACACTTCAATTCCATAACCATTGTTTTTCTCAAGTCACATTGCACGGTGAGAGGGACAAGAGGGAATTCCCAGCCACCATCAAGCAAGTGGGGGGCTGAGCAGAAGGATCCTGGTCTTGGTGTCATCTGGCCCAGGATTCAAACCCCAGCTCTGTCCCTTAGGGGCTGTATGACATTGGGCAGCTTGATAATCTATAAAATGGGTATAGTATTTCTTACCTCACAGAGATTTTGAGAGGATTAAGACATGAGAGATTTCTACAAAGACCTGTGAGGCATGTTGCCTCCTTGGTATCCAATGGTATAGGGTCTTCACCCAGAGCACGAAAAAAGTAAGGAGTTGAGCTCCATAAGCTCCACCTGTTCCTGCCACCCACTCACCCTCACCATGATTGGGCTTCTCCAGTTCTTTGCCCCATTCTCCATAATCAAGCTTCAGATACCTCCTCTTCTCACCAAACCTCCCAGGGCCCCTTGCCTCATCAAAGAGGTTTTTTCCTGCTTACTTCTCAATTCCAGGGATGTTCTGGTAATCTTTGAGCAGCGTGGAAGGGGGCAGGTCATCTTCTTGGCTGGGCCGGACTGTCAAGTGGAGGGATGAAAAACACCCAGAGTCAACTCTCACTGCCCATCCTCCCAGACCTGACTCTTCTCACCAACTCTATCAGAGACATCCAGGGTCTCAAGCAAGGCACTGGATATCTCTGGGCTCAGTTTCTCCTCTGCAAACTCCCTGGGCACCTGCCTTGATATTTCACGCTGGGGGTAGATGGCCTTTTCCAAGATCCCAAAATGTGCCTTCACCTCTCACACTTGTCTGGCTCTACAGTTATCAGATCTCCAACAGGATGGGTCCTCAGTGGGTGGACTGAATTTGACTTCCTTTGAATCCTACCCCTCAGTCTGATCCATAGCCCAGCATACAACAGGCACTCACCAAAACACTTGCCTGCTGACTGCATGGACAAAATAAGGGGGTTGAGGAGGAACCCTCAGCTTTAAGACACTTGAAATGTAAGCACCAAATACAGACCACAGGAAACCCCCAGCCCTGGTATGTGCATCCCTGTCTTCCCTTGGAGGTGAGGGAGAGGTACGGGGGAGAACAACTTGTCCTCTCCAGTCAGGCCCTACTCTGCAGCTATGCAAATAATAGCAACAAATACTAACATATACTACAGTTTATTGCACACCGTGCTACGGATGCTTTTCACGTGTTATCATTGAATCCTAACAACGATCCTCTCAAACACTTGCACTCATTTTAGAACGAGACTCAGAGAGAGAAGTAGCTTGCCCAGGATCATTTACCTAGTAAGAGATCTTTGCCAATATGCAAGCTGCTCTGGAAGGGGAAGCCAGATCCTCCGCCGCAGGGCAGACACGAAGCGCTGTACACGGGGTAGGCCTGGGTGGCCCCCTCTGCAAGCTCATTTCCACTCACTCCCAGTCGGAAGGTTCCTGCTCCCACGACCCCCTCCCCTCGCCCGGCGTCCGGGCTTCCGGCTAAAGCTCCGCGACCAGGTGGACGTGGGGGTCTTCTGCTTAGGACCTCTGGCCCACCCCATCTAGCGGCTAAGCCACCACCTCTGTCCTCTTGGCCCCCCCAAGCCGTCCAGGCTCTCTCTCTTCCGCCCACGTCCCACCCGAGAGCTCCTACCTGGTTTCTGGGTGGCATATCCGCGGGTGGCAGGGAGGATGAAACCTGTGCAGAAAAGAGCGGGCTGAGGCCATCTCCTTAAACAGTCCAGTCTCGGTTCCTTCTATGGCCCTTCGGCCATGGTCTCGGCACCTCTGCGCCTAACCGCTGCGCCATTTCTTTGCACCCGGCTGCCCCAGGTCTCCCCGACCTCGTCTCACCTAGTCCCCACCCACCACCCTTTCTCTCGTAGCCGCGGCACTCCTCCCCTAGTCTCTTCCCGTGTCCTCCATCTCCCCGAACTCTTTTCCTAATCCCTCTCCCCCGTTCCTCAGCTCCTCACCGCCGGGAGGTGAGGGGAGGCCCCAGTGGTCGGAGGGAAGCCGGGCGCACCCCCCACGCGACAGCCCAAGCACTGGGGCCTGGGTCCGAATAGAACTCAGCACCCTCCACGCCGCCCTCAGCATGGTGACCTCTGACCCCAGCGGGCGGCGCCGCCGTTGCCTCCGCGGTGCTGGCCGGGTTACATGGGCGCCGCCATGTTGGCTCAGGCTCGACCAATCGAGTGCGGCCGGGAGACCGGAGCAGAGGAGGACCGAGAGCGTGAATCGGCGAGGCGGGGCTCGGCGCCGAGGCGGAACAGGTGGAGCCGCGAAGCCGGGTTAGCGGGGCTGGGGGCGGGGGCTCTGCGGTCGCCTGGCCGCGTTGGCGGTGTGCGGTGCCGTCTACATTCGAAGATGCCGCTCTTTCTCGGGCGAGCATCCCGTCCTTAAACCAGTCTACGTTCCTGACCTCGGCCCCGATTATTTCGGGGGCTTCCGTGGGGTCTGTCGTAGCCTCCTCCCCCGAGCCTAGTATTTCCACGCCCCTCCGCCGCTCCGGTCCCCCGAGCCCAGGGTGAGGCCGTGTGAGAACTACTGGGGTTCGGCCTCCTCTCTGGCAGCCCTGTAGCCTGGTGGTTAAGGTCGCAGGCTTTGGAATCAGACGGCTCTGGGCTGGAATCTTGGCTCGGCCATTGACTCACTATGTGGTTCTGTGGGCAAGTCACCCGGCCTGTCTGGGCCTCGGTGTTCTCATCCGTCAGACGAGGACGGTAATAACAGTATCTGCTGCTCAGGATTCATTGAGGCAGTTGTGTGCGAAGCACTCGGTCTATAGTGAGCATTCAATAAGTATTAGCTGTGATAATATTTATGAAGTGTGGGTGTAAGGACAAATGCAAATTAAAAGTAGGAAAAATAAAATTTAATTCTCCTTGGTGCAAAAAGGGGAAAAGAATACTTGTTAATTGTGACTCCTTTTGCCCTTTTGAAATGTATGTACATCTTTTTTTAAAAATTTATCTTTATTGTTGAAAGTATTACAAATGTCCCCTNCCCATGGGGTTTCCAATTGCCCGGGCCCTGGGGCGCCCCCCGAACTCAAGGTGTAGAATTGAGCCTCCGTAAATCCCCCCTGGGGTGTCTTTCTGCCCGACACTCCTTAATGTCCAGCAATGCCCTGTCTGCGTTTTTTACACAAGACAATGGAGCACAAATGCCTGGGCGCAGGGTGGGCTCCTGCCCCCCCCCAGTGACCTTGGGGACCCAGGCTAGTGGGAAGGAGGCAATGGGCAGAGCTGCCCACTGAGCCCACAGGATACTTAACCCGGGAAAGGTCTTAGGAAAGGACATCTAGGTTTGGCGGCCAAGGAGTCCCCTCGCCCATCCTCTTGGCGGTGGTTCTGGTCAGTCACCAGACGCAGAGGTCTAGGGAAGGCTTTCCTGGCACCTCTCTGTTTCTTCGTGTCCCCGTATCACACAGTTGCTTTTCCCTCAGGTTCTGTGTGTGTCCTGTGGTCTACAAGTGGCTTTACTGAAATAAGCCAAAGCCACTGACTTCCACTGTCCTTCTGCTTTGCATCCCAGAGCCCCTGGGAGCTCTTTCTCCTGCCAGGAACCCCACCCACCCGGCCTCCAGCTGTAACTGGGTATCTGCGGCTGCTTCAAGCCAGGGTGCCCTTTGAGAACAAGAGAATCTGTGTTTCCCACGTGTTCCTGCCCCTTTGGGTGGTGCAACTGACAGCACAAGGGTCTGTTCGGCCCGGCCAGCTGACTGGGTGTTGTCTTCCACTGCAGCTCCTGCCACTAGCACCGCTGGGTCTTATACCTATGAGATGGGGGTGTTCGGAGAGTGGGTAGCAGTCCCCGGGGAGGACAGGCTGCCTTTGGTGACAGCAGGAGACAGACACCCGTTGACCTCAGCCGCTGGCATGTGGCACTGTGGGACAGCGCAGGGTCTGTCTCTTATACACATCTAGATGTGTATAAGAGACAGACCCTGTACCCCTCCCCCCAGGCCTTCACCCCACTATTGTCTGTGTCCATGAGTTATGCATATAGGCATGTAAATTCTTATGTTAATCTCCGCCCCCCCCCTCCCCCTGAGATTGGTCAGTCTGTTCCATGCTTCTGTGTCTCTGGATCTTGTATGTACATCTTTTCAAAAGCTAAGTACACCCTTTGCCAGTTTTACAACCCAGGAATGTCTTTCTCAGGGACCTTGGAGCCATCTCTTTGAAATGCTGTCATTAAGGAAGTTAGTGCCCCTATCTCTCAGTGTCTGGGAAAGGGTAGGAGCCTAACTTCAGCCAGTGCCTAGTTCCAAGTTGCAAACCTACCTCCTCTCATGAAGATATGAGAAATTTATTTTTCTTTTGGATAAGTGCAATTAGCAAACACAGGTGACTACCCCACTTACCAGGTGAATTTAGGATGACCCCCGTGTGACGAATGGTGCTGTAAGGTCTTCTTGCTTGGGAACTAGTTATTGTTTATCTTGAGAAAATGTATGCATTAAGTTGTATACATTTTCTATATACACTTAGCTATATAAAAGAGTACAATTTCTGTCTGTCTTTGCAAGCCCTTTAGCTAATTGCCTGTGATGCGCATCACATTCTGGTTTAATGCTCATTCAATAATAAAACTTTTCTTCCTTTTCTGTGCTTGTAGAGAGGTTTTACTAGGTTGGTGGGAGATTTCGTTTTTAATTATATTTCCCTAACAGAAGTTACTCTTTTCTGAGGCCTCTATCCCTGTGTCCACTTTATGACTCCCTCCAGGTAACCCTGGCCACTGTGTCCTAGTGGTCAATTTTCAAGTCTCCACCACTAGAATGGGAGCTCTTTGAGAAAGGACTGAGCCTAGTCATTTTTGAGTCCCTGCTGCCAGCCTAGGGCTCTGGTTGAATGAATGAATGAAGGAAGGAAAAATAAGCCAACCAACAATTCTGAGAGGTACAGCCCCTACCACCCGACTGCCACGGCCCTGAAAAGAAAAAGAATGGACTCAGGCACTCACAGAGTTTCTCAAAATAAAACGAAATCAAATGGAACCATAAATCAGTTTAAGAGACTGAAATTACAGGAAATAAGCACAAAAGGCACCATAGTGGGCAGGCTGGAGGAGTCAGTCTCTGATCTTTAAAGTGGGAGGCCCAGCTCATGGGTATTGAGAGCATGGGGAAGGGATGCTGGAGGCCTCTAATAGGGGTAACTGGGAGCCTTTCTGCCTTTCCTGGGGGAGGGTAGTTTTTTAGTGATGGGCTTACTTACCCTTGCCTCTTTTCTGATGGCCCAGGCCTTTCAAGAGGCAGACCCAACTGGGGCATTCCAGGAAGCCCTAGAAACCTCCCAGCCCTTCCACCCCATGGACCTGGAGCCCCTGCAGGAGGGGGAAGTCAAGCAGTGGCCCAAAGACACAGTCATCCTCCTGGTTTGGGACTAGAGGCTCTGAGGTCCTTACTGGGCTGGGCTGGAACCAGAGGTTCTCATAGGACTTGGGGCTGGGGGTGAGGCCCCCCAAGAGGGGCTGAGTGGAGTCACAGCGGATGTAGTGCCCTGGCTCTGAGCCGGTGGGGCTGCCTATCACCTGCCCATAAAGGACCTGGTCACTGTTGCCAGACTGGGACTGGGGCTGGATAGAAGGTGCTCTTGGGTCCCCCTGGAGCACATAGGCCTGGACCAGGGTGGGAAGGCTGCAGGTTCCTGAGCCGTCATTGGACTCCCATGGCCCTGGCTTCTTCTCTTCCTCCTCCAGCACGGTGATCTTGGTGATGGGTGGCATGCTGGGGTCCCAAAGGCTGGGCAGCTGGAAGATCTCCTGGACACAAGGTCATGTGGTGAGGGCATGATTTATTTCAGATGTCTGCCCCAGCCACTGTCCCTTCCTGAGTTGGGCAGGGAGGGGAACTTCCTGCTGCTTTCTGCTATACTCAAAGACTTGCACCTGCAAAGCACCTCATATGTTCATGATATGTGCTCTGTGCTGTTCAGACTTATCTTGGTGAATCTCTCCAACAATTCTGTGTGGGATTAGTCCCATTTCACAGTGGGACATCTGAGGTTTTGAAGTGGGTAGAGGGGGGATGCAGACTCATGTCTGCTTTACTCCAAAGGAAGTGGATCTTGCTAGGAAGTGAAGGGAAGGCCGAGTACTTATCCTCAGAGGGGCATCCATTCACTTTGAGCCTGGGCTGACACCCCTACTCCCATTCCCTCTCCCTCCAGGGTTCTCACCTCCGCTGTGATGCTAGGCACCCAGGAGCCCAGGCTGCTGTGGGCTGGGTCTGGGACACTTGGCCAGAGGGGATTCTTCCTGCTAGAAAAGGGGGCAGGTAAAGGCAGGGTCAGGCATACCCTCCCATCTTTCCATCCTTTCTCCCACCCGTCCCCAGCAGCTGAAGGCATGGCCACTTAGTGTGGAGGGGAGAAGGGGGAGGGTGTGACTCCCAGACATGAGGCCTGAGGCCTGGGAAGACCGGGATGGACTTGGACTGGCCCACTCAAGCCTGTAGTTCCTTGTGGGCAGGGGTATCTGGGTGTCAGATCTTGATTTACCTGGCTCTGCAGCAGAGCCTGGCAGCCCCACACAGGCAGATGAGCAAGAGCAGGAGGCTGAACAGGCCCAGGAAGATGTGCAGCTCGGACTCCTCTAGGGTGAGGGGAAAGCCAGAAGAGATTAGAGTGCGTGTGAGTAAGGCTGGGCCTCCTCCCTCAGACTAGGATATGTGGGCAGGGCTAGGTCTCCCTTGGACCAGGAGGTCCAGGCAAGCCTTGTCTACTTTAAAAATGGAGCTCCTTTGGCCGAGGCACCCTCCCAACAGCCTTGTCTGAGCAGCCCCTTTTTCCCCTTACCTGGGGCCAAGGTCATCAGGGTGAGGCTTGTGCTGTTGGTGGCCCCTGCCTGGCTGGCAGCTGTGAGGTAGACGTGGTACAAGCTGGCGGGCTCCAGGCCAGGTAGGACAAAGCCATGGGAGGAAGCGTTAAGGATGGTGGCTGGGGGTGAAGGAGGATGGTCAGCCTGGGCCCGGATGCGGAGGTTCCCTCCAAGGCTGCTGAGCCCCCCTCCCGGGCATTCTGGGGCTGTGGGGTGCTGAGGATAGACTCACAGAAGGACTGGCCCTGGGCACTGGTCCAGAAGATGGTGTAGTGGGTAAGAGGACTCCTCCCCAGCTCAGGGGCTGGGGGCGCCCACTCCAACTGGGCCCAGGTCTTGCCAATGTGCTTTAGATGCAGCTCTGGGGTGTAGGAGGGGGCTGCCGGGAGAGAGAGGTGCAGGGTTGACAGGGGGCAGGATGGAGAACCCAGCTGGACTCCTTGTGCCTCCCAGACCCAAGAACTGGGACGTGCTGTGAGGTGGGTGATATAAGAGAGTCCAAACAGACTCGTACCCAAGCCTCATTGTCTCATGAACTTTGACTGAATCCCATCTACTTCTGATAAGTGACTGAGGCAGAATTTGAACCTGGTTCTCTTTGACTTCAAAGCCTCACTCCCTGGTTTCTACCAGGCCTGATTTTGCCTGACTCACTATTCAATTTCTGCAGCTCACTCTCTGAATTTATGCCAGGCCCTCTCTCTCTTTCTATCACACGTGACATGTTTTTTCTATCAGGACAACTGATTGACTTTTGCCAGACTTGCTCCCTGAATTGCTCCAAACTCACTGCCTAATTTCTCTCACTCACCACCTGACTTCTCCCTAGCTGCAGGGGGCCAGTGTAAGCCAGGGTTAATCTTAGGACTAGGAGGAACCCTCTTTGGGCCAGAGGTAGAGGAAGAAGGGAATGTTCCCTCATAGCCCTGATTGTTGGGGCCTATGCAGGTCTGGTGGCTGACAAACCCGTTTCTTGGGAATAGGCATAGATGCGCTGGGAGGGCCCCATGGTGTCTTGGTACAGGGCGGTCACAGTGATCTCGTAGAGCTGAAAGGGCCTGATGTTCTCTGTAGAGAGGAAATGGGGTAGGCACTCTGGTCAGGGAATAGCCTCTGCTGATGATCAGGAGCTAACCTCAGACCTCCAGTTGGGGCGAACCTGGGCCTCACACTGCAGGGCTAGCCTCTGCAACCTCTTCTTCAGATCACTTGGTAGAGGTAAGGGGAAAAAAATGGAAGAGAGAGCTAGAAAGGCGGCAGAGTCAGGGCTGTAGCCAGAGAGGATCCAGCTAGACTGTAAGAGGAACTTTCTGATTCTGAGTATATGAGGTGAGACCAGTGAAGGATCAAGAAATACTTGGGAATCTACTTGTCCAGTGTGGTTCAGGTTGCCCTGGCCCACTGCCTCCCCATCTCTGGGCCCTGCCCACCTGCCCGCCCCCTAGGCCTGCCTCACCTTGCAGCAGGGTCCCTGCAATGCTCCCGTTGTGCTCCATTTTCCAGGTCTTATTGCTGCTGCTGGGGCTGGGGGGACCCAGGCCCCACTCAATCACATAGCCCCGAGGCTGAGGGCTGGGGGTTTCCCAGCCCACCCAGAGGCTGTGAGGGTCTTGGGCCACAGTATGGAGTCTGCCCAGGGGAGGGCCTGGAGACAGAATAGAAGATGGAATGAAGGGGAAAAGAATGCAGGCCCTAGAGCCAGAAGCCTGGGTTCAGATTCTGGCTTTGCTACTTATAAACTGGGTGACCTTGAGCAAGTCAACATCTGAGCCTCAGTTTCCTCATCTGTGAAATGGAAATGATGATAAAAGTTCCTCCCTCATAGAGTGTTGGTGCAGATTAGATGAGATAATTCGTGGAATGAGCCTAGACAACCTTTTGAGGTAGGTGCTGTATCATCTGCATTTGCTAGATGGGTAACCAGAGGCCAGGGAGGCCTAGTGTAGAGTGCTGCTTGATATGACAAAAGCTAACACGATGTAGTTCTTAGTATGTGCCAGGTGTAGTCCTTGGGCACTACTACTGTCCCCATTTTATCAATGAGAAAACAGACACAGAGAGATTAAGTAACATCTAAGGTCATGCAGCTAGTCCATGGGAATATTAGCTATTATTATTGTTAGTCTCACCTTGTCAGGATCCATGTTCAAGGGAACCTGGGGGTGGTGGTGGCTGATCCCTGAAGAATGAGAAATTAACTCAGGGACTGTGTTCCAGTTGGAAAAACGTAGGGCTTTCTCTCCCATCTTCCTTGGCAGAATGGACTGTGTGTGTGTGTGTATGTGTGTGTAGACACCACCACCAACTTAACCTGGCTTTGGCTCATGATAGTAATAGCTAACACATATTGAGCAGTTACAATATACCAGGCACATGTCTTAACTCATGTAGTCTTCACAATACCACTTTGAGGTAGGTGCTATATCATCCCCATTTGATAGATGAGTAAACTGAGGCCAGGGAGGTTAAGTAACTAGCTTGTGCAGGTTACACTGTTAGCAAGTGACAGGACTGGATTTGAATGCAGGCAGGCCAGCCTTCAAATGTACATGCTTAACCACCATGCTTTACTAGCTGCCAGCCCCCTTTACCTCTGCGGTCCAAGAAGACCACTGGGGTGGGAGGAGAGGTCCCAGCGGTGTTGTAGGCCACAAGGACCACCTCCCGGACTTCCAAAGGCAAATGGAAGGTGCAGCTTAGTTCCGTGGTGTTGCAGAGGGGTGGGACTGCTCCAGCTTGGCCTGGGGGTCTCCAGGAGACCAGGTACCCTTGGATCTCCCCACTGGCTTCCTCCAGGGGCATTGGCTGTGGTGGACATAGGAGGAAAAAGATAAGAGGAATGCACATCTCATCTTGCGTGGGGGAGAATTCTAGATGGGGGCGGATGGACCACAGGAACTAAGCCACCCCCAGAAGGCCAGCCTTTCCCCGTCCCTCAGTTCTTCCCTCTGTTGCCCTGTGCCAGGTCCTAGGAGGGAGGGAAGGAAGAAGCAAGCAGGCATGTGCAGCACGCCAACCCTTTGCCATAGCTGAGTCTGCGCTGTAGTCGCTCCAGAAGGACACTACCCAGCTCCCTAGGCACATGCGAGGTGCATGCAAATCACATACAAATGCATCCAAGCCTTCCAGAGCTGGGGGAGTCCTGAGCCCACAGGGGTCTGTGTGGGTTGAAGGAGGTCTCAGGGATGGCCTGCAGAGGGGGTCACCTTCCAGAACAGCTGCACGTCCACTGTCCTGGGGTCCAGCTGCCTCTGCCGCCACCACGTGTCCAGTCTGACATTGGGGGCTGTGGATGGAGAGGAGGGGTGCTGGTCAGGGAGGGCTTTGGAGGTGGGACAGGGTCCTGATGGCTGCTCTTAGCCCCTTACCACCCACTTACCCCACTGTGCACTCGTCAGCTCCAGGCTGGGGCTCCAGTCACTCCAGTGGCCAGGCAGGGGCCAGCGGGTGCAGCGCATCTGCAGAGTGTAGGCTGTGGATGGGAGGAGCCCGCAGAGCTCATGCTGAAGGGTCCTGGAGGGCAGGGAGTCCACCTGGTGGGGAAAGGTGTGGCTCTGAGCTCTGATTCCTGTGCCCTTCAGGGTCAGCTCAACTTACACTCTCCTCAGCCACCGCCATCCCAGGCTTTTGAGGTTGCCCTGCCCCTCACCAGGATCCAGCTGGCTTCTCCAAGCTGTGGCTGGAGGCGCAGCTCACACTTCTGGTCTATGTAAAGGCTTGGTTTCCATGACTCCCAGCCCAACTGTAGGCAGCCTGGCTGGGGTGGGGCCGCCTCAGGGCTGGGGTCCAGGGCCCACAGTGTGGGGGGCTCCAGTTTTACTGTAAGGAGAGGGGTTGTCAGACCCTTCCTCTGCCCCATTTTACATGGCCCTGCCTTAGCTCCCTCTTCTCTGTCTGTGGTTCCATTTTTCCCCTGGGTCTCTATCCATGCGATCTCTATGTTTGTCTTTTTTGCTCTCTCTCTGGGTCTCTTCATCTCTGTCATCATGTTTCTGCAGGTCTGTCTCTGTATATGTGTCTGTTTCTGTCTAGGTCTGTTTCATACTCATGCCCCAGAGCCTTTGCACTGGTTGTCCCCTGGAACATTTTCCCTCCACATATCCAGTGTCTTGCTCCCTTATTTCCTTCAAGGATCTTTTGAAATGTCACCTTCTCAGCGAGGCCTTCCCTGACCACCTTACTGAAATGGCAACTGCTCCCCACTCCCAGCTTTTCCCACCCCTTCCCCACTTTAATTTCCTCATCACATTTATCATCAACTGACATTCTATTTTATTTATATTGCCCATTAGAATGTAACGCTCCAGGGCAGGACTTTTGCCCTTTTGTTCACTGCTGTATCTCTAGCACCCAGAACAGTGCCTAGCACATAGTGGACACTTCAAGAAATTTCCCGAAAGAATGTGTTTCTTCTGTGTCTCTGTGTCTCCATAGCTCTGTCTCCAACTGTATCCCACTTTGCCTCTGTCTCTCTTCTCTTATTCTACCTCTGGGTCTTCCAGTGTCTATTTGTTTGTCACTGGTATGTGTTTCCCTCTGTGTCTCTTTGGGTCTGCCCTTCCCTCCCCCATACCCAGTGCATCACCCACCAACATCCATGGGATCAAGGCACAGCTGTGGGGACACACTGGTCCCCAGCACATTCTCCACCTGCACCCAGATGCCCATACTCTGGTAGAGCTGCAGGTGTTTGCGTGGGATGGAGCAGTGGCTTTTTCCGTCCTCAGGCACACAGTCGGGGATGGCTTCCTCCTGGATCTGGCAGTTGCCCCGGCTCCTGCCAATAGGCCAGGCTTGGGTGTCAGACAGAGGAAGAAAGCAAGGTTCCCTTCTCCCTCCCATCTTTACCTCTGTCTCCCTCATCCCCACAGTCCTACCTATACCACACCCCAGGAATGGGGCTGGAGTAGAGGCCCCTACTCACTTGAAGCTTTTTAGGGTGAAGTTGGTAGACAGGTGGGTGTCAGGTCCTGGCTCCCACTGGCAGGTGAGGCTATCAGTTGTGAGGTTCATGAGGCAGGACAGGTTGTGGGGTGTGGAGGGTGGGTCTGTGCGCAGGGTGGGGAGAATGAGGGCTTTGGGTAGGACCACTCAGAAAGCTCCCACTGGGACCAACTGGCTTGTTTCCCTGCTCTGGGTCATTCCCTCTGGGCTCACTTGGTTTATTTGCCTGTCTGCGCAGCCCCGGGGGAAACCAAGTCACATGCATGTACAGGGACAGGCATCACAGAGCCTCAAACCCCCTCAACTCCACCCTCTTTAGCAGTGACAGTGTAGTGTCTGGGTTTTCACTCTGGGTCTGCCACTCATTAGCTGTGTGACCTTGAAGTTACTTAACTGCTCTGTTTGCTCATCTGTAAAACGAGAGTAATGGTAACACACCTACCCCCTAGGGTTATTGTGAGGGCTGAATGACTTACTGCATGTAAAGTGCTCACAGCAGTGGTGGGCTCATAGTAGGTACTATGTAAGTGTTACCTCTACTATTACTGATTCTTACACAGAACCTTGGTCTTGGTTTGTTTTTTCTTATGCATTGGCTTGGCACAAACTCCATTCTTTGCAGTTTGTGCAGAAGGCTGAGACGGGTGGGAGAGAAGCTGGGAGCAAGCACAGCTGATAGAGACTGTCCTCCCTGGACACACCCTCCTGGGGCTGGGGAGTTGGGCTTACTCGGTGGTCATACAGCGTAGCAGTTACTATACTGGCTCTCTGGCCACACTACCTGATATAAATCTTTGCTCTATCCTTATTGGTTTGTGACCTTCATTCAGTACATCACTTGCCCTCTCTGAACTTCAGTTTTCTTATCTGCAAAATGGGGCTAAATAATACTGTCCACTGGTAGGGAAGATGACCTAATATCGAGCCCATAAAGTGCTACTGAGCAAGAGCTCAAGGAAGAATAGCTCTTAGTATTGGCAGGTGGGCATTGGAGGCAGAAGGGTGGATGGCTGCAGGGACTTACAGCCTGCCTGCAGCTCAGCCTGGTCCAGGATCTGCAGGCTGTTGCTCCAGCGCAGACAGCAGGAGAGAAGGACCCAAGGGTCGTTGAGGTGGGGCAAGGTGATGGTAGATTCCAGGGTGCCATCCGCCAGGCGCTGCTGCCTCCCCCCTTGTTGAAGCTCTGTTCCCAATTTCCATACAATCTGTGACTCTGGGCCCAGGTGGCTGCAGGTCTGGTTGATGATGCAGGAAGCCGTGATGGCATCTCCCAGGCGGACTATGGGGGCTGAGAGGCTGATGTGCCCGCACTCCTCCAGGCCTGGGGTGGAAGAGATTGGGCCATGAGTGACTCCCTGCCTGGCAGAGCTGGGCTATAAGCTAGGCCTTTGCCATCCTAGTCTCAGGGCCTCACCCTCCAAGATGTGGGAGCTGGAGTGGGACGCAGTGTTTGGGACTGTGAGAGGCCCTTGGGGAGGAGACAGAGGCAGTGATGTGTGGGTAAAAGTTTATCAACTGGCTGTGCAGAGAAACACCGATCCTGATTTGTAGCATGGGCTGTTTTCCCTGGTGAAATGTTCCCACCATGGCTGACTGCAAACTACCAGTGTGATATCACTGGATGTGAACTTGGGAAGAGCTGTGCACAATGAGCTCCTGTAAGCCTGCTCCGGCATGCCACCAGATAGACACTAGTTCCTCCCCAGTGCCCTCTGAAGGGTGGCGAAAGCAGTGATTAGGATGATAAGAACCCCGAAGCCACAGCAGTCTTTTCAGAATTCAGATCTGATTGTTTCCACACCTCAATCACAGCACTCCAGTGGCACGTTTTGGCTCCAAAAGGCAGTATGGCACAATGGGTAAGAGCAAGGCTCTTGGGACTAGACTGCCTAGGTTTAGAGCCTGATTCTATTGCTTATTAATTATGTGACCCTGCTATGTTACTGAGACTTTCTGTGCCTCTGATTTCTCATCTGTAAAGTGGGGATAAAAATAGTCCCTACTTTAGTGTGGCTGGAAACATTTGATGTGATAACTTGTGTAAGGCACTTAGAACAGTGTCCGACAGGTGAGTATTTGCTGCCAGGATAGAGACCCAGAGCCTCTCGCAGCCCTTGTGGCCCGGCTCCTGCCTAACCCTCCCACTTCCAGCTCAGACCATACTCTCTAAGCCCCAGTCACCCTGGCTTCTTGCAATTCCTTGAAAACGCCAGGCTCTTTCCAATCTCCGATCTTTGCACCTGCTATTGCTCTTGGAGGTGCTCTTTCCTCCCACCCCTCTTTCACCTGGTTAACATTCAGGCATCTTGGGTGTAACCAGACTAGGCCAAGCTCCCTAAACTTCCCCAAAGCTCTTATTAGCCTTCACAATTATAGAGCCATGTGATTATTTGCTTGTCTGTCTCTCCAGCTGGACCATAGGGTCCGTGAGCCCGGAGACCTTGGCTCTTTTGCTCCCTGCTGTATTCCCAGGCCCCAGCACAGAGTAGGCCGAGGTGAACATGTATTGAATAAAGTTCTGTACTTTGCCCACCATGCCTTCTCTCCTCTCTCAGGTGTCCTTCAGCCCATTTTCCTAATGGGGATGCTAAGGCCCTAAGACGAGAGACAGTTTGCCCAGGGTAACAGAGCAAGTTCACGGGGCTCCTACCGCTTCACAGACTCGGAATTTCAGACAGGAAGGAGCCTCGCAAAACTGTTCACTTCAAAACTCCACCTGATGCTACATCCTCTGCAGCAGGGCTAGGGTTGCCTGTTTGTGTGTGGCCTGACAGCTAAGAAGGTCTTTTACATTTTTAAAGGGTTAAAAACAAACAAAACAAAAACCAAATAAGAACATGCAACAGAGACTGCCTGTGGCCCTCAAAACCTGAATATTACTATCAGACGAAGTTTGCCGACCCCTGCTGTGCAGCATCCTGGTCAATCCTGGCCTCAACTTGCATGCCCCCAGAGATAGGAGGGTCTTCACCTCTCAAGACAGAGTTTCTGTAGTAGGAGGGCTCTGCCTGGGCTTCCTGATTCTAGGATGAAATCTGCCTCCTTGTGGGTTCTGCCCTGCTCCCTTTGCTGCCCATGAAGACTGCACAGAAGTCAGAGGTTCCCTTTGACAGCCTGACAGAGATTTGCAGACAAGATCTGGGCCCCCTGGCCTTTTCCAGGCTGACCAGCTCCAGTCCTCTCACCATTCCTCATGGCTGGTGGCTTGCTTGCAGAAGTCTGTGGATGGGAGCCCAGCTACCTCACGTCTGTGGTCCAGTCTCGATTCTCTTGGGATTCTCTAGGAACCCCAGGGGCAGTGTGGCAGTGCAGGGAAGTGATTCTCTCCTCCATCCCCAGCATCTCTCCCTGTAACTCCCCTCTCACCACGGCACCTCACCCCTGGCCATACTCACTTCTGGGGAGCAGCAGGATGATCAGAGCAGCTCTGGTCAGGCTCCAGGCTCCCAGCCCCACCATCGTGCCAACTTGCTGTTCACCTGGAGGCACAAGGGGATGGTTAAGATCTGGGACTTTGGAGTCAGAGCTGAGTTTAATCCTTGTTCTGCCGCAGTGTGGCTTTGACCAAGTTACTTGACCTCTGGGAGTCTCAGTTTCTTTGTCTGCAAATGGAGGTAACAGCCTATACTACTACACAGGGCTTTGGGAAGAAGACCTGGCATGTAGGAAATGACTATAAGTGATAGGCACTGTTATTGTTAAACTGCCTTCCAGGAGAGAGCAGGGAAAGGAGCAGCAAGGAACAGCATTCTCCCCCTTCCCTTCTTTCTTAGCCAGGTTTCCATCCACCCCTCAAAGAAGAGCCTGAGATGGGGGTTTGCATGCAGGTAGTTTATTTTAGGAAGATCCCAGGAACAGGGTGAGGGAATAGGGAGAATGAAACAGATAAGAAAGGAAAGCCAACACAAGGGCATGTCGTTGAATTGGTCACCTCTACGGACAACTGGGACTGAATCCTGCTGGAACCTTCCAAGGAGCTGTGTGCATGCCTCAGAACTGTCCACCCAAGGGACAGTTTATCCCTTGAATGCGTGGGAGGATGGGCATGTTTATCTACTGACTCCTGTCCCCATTGGTCTGCGGATGTCCCTTGGGTATTAACCTCCTGGCACATCAGTTTGCACATGCATGAATATGAGGCAGGCTCTGCTGGGTGAGTCATGCCAGAAGTGTCAGAGATGTTCCCTGGCAGGAGGGGACAACTCCATGGAGCTGCTGAGGCAAGGGGATGTCATGTGACACCTGTGGGAAGCTGGCTGCCATGGCAATGGCAGGAGGGAAAGGTGGGCTGAGAGGGTATCAGGTGGGACACACAAGAGGACACACAAATACATCCCCAATTCTGGGCACAGACCTCTGGAGGCCTTCTGGGACCAGGCATCCTGTCATCACGGCAACAGTGCCTGGGTGGAGGGAGCATTAGTACCAGGCTCAGGAAGTATCCAGCCTAACCCTCCATTCTGATCCTGTTGGGGTCTTGAAGCCAGCCACCTGATCCTCCAGCACTAATTGACACTCTTGGTGGCAGGCCAGTGGGAATCACTGAGCAACGAACATGTACATTCACAAAAACATAGGCGGCATCTCAGCAGATCCCCTGTGCTGGGGAGAAAGCTTCTGTCCCTCCCAAACAGAGGTGTGAATAGGAACTGCCCAGATACCCAGGGCTGTTTCCGCTTGTAGGTACCTTAACCAAACCCCCAGTCTATCTACATATATTGCAGTATCAGGATACCAGGTAGCTAGCCCATGAGTCACTATTTTTTTTTTTTTTTGCTAATCAGGGTGCAGCCCCACACTAGGACCTGGCAACTGGAGAACAGCTGGATTTCAGCCTCCATTTGCCCCTCAGCCTGGTAGTTTGTGTAGTGAGAAACTGCACAATTGTTCAGAGCACCCCCATCTACCACTCAGTGGTTGGCACCTTCTTAGTATAGCTTACCAGTTTGATGATCTCCCCCCTCTTGTTGGGGAATATTTAGCCTCTTTGGACCAGATTTTGGGACCCTGGTTTTCATCTCTATGTGCTTTTGATCATACCCAGCCCTGCTGCCCTAGCATGGGGCAGCTTCAGGCCCAGCCTATGCCTGGGGAGGGGACCACGTTACCACTGGCTCCTGTCCAGAGCAGGCAACCAAACCCCAAAGCCCCAGAGGCCAGGCATCCTTCCCCCTGGGTTCCTGGGTATTGGCACCCTTGGCACTAGTCCCTGGTCCCCCTCAGCAGTCCCGGGTGCCCCCCAGCCCAGTTGAGTGAGAACTCAGGCCTGTGGGAGCATGGTCTGGTCTCCTCTCTTGCAGCCAGTGTGCAGAGAGGTTGGGAGCCCAGCTGTGAGTCAGACCAGCTGATCTGAACCACAGTTCTGCCACTTACCAGCCTTGTGACCTTGGACAAGTTACTTTCTGAGCTTCAGTTTCCCCATCTGTGAAAGAGGGATAATAGCACCCACTTCTCAGGGCTGTGGTAATAGAAAACACTTAGCATGGAGCGCGAGCCCCCAAGGAGAAAGCTCGATAACTGTGTTTTCACGTGCCCCGAAGCAAGGCACCACCTCACAGAACCCAGCATGGCTTAGTGCCCCCTCCCCCGCCTACAGGCTGCTGGGTTGCAGCCTCCTAGGACTGCCACCTTGCTTTCGTCCATGTCATGCTGCTTGGCTTCGAGATCCCATTTCTGGGTCCCCTACTTCCAGCCCCTTGGTCCCCTCAGCCTCCCCTTCGCTCCAGCCACCTTCGCTGGGTTCCAGCACAACACGCCGCCCTGGAGCCCTGCGTCACACCCCCCTCTTTCCGCTTCCCTCTCCTTTTCCTCCACTCACCCTCTCCCCTTGCTCTCCCTTCTCCAGTTCACCCCCTCTCCCTGTTCTTTCTCTCTAGTTCACCTGGAGATTGTCACTGTGGGCGGAGGGCCGGAGAGAGGAGGGAGCTGGGAATGAACCAAGGGAGAGGCCTTCCAGATGTGGTTCAGAGAAAGGGAGACAGATGGCAGAAAGAATAAGGAAGTGAAGGTACCCACACGGACCGAAATGATGGAGAGGCCCACGGAGATGAAGACGGCAGGACAGACACCAAGAGTCGGAGAGGAGAGAGCCCAAGAGACAAGAATGCTGACACGCAGAGAGACTGAGCACTTGGAGACCGAGAAGCAATCATATCCGAGCGCGTTTACGATTCAAAAGACAGAGGGAAACGTGAGAGAGGCACACAGAGACTCCAGGACAGACTGACGGAGACTTGGAGCCCAGGCAAGCCAGAGAGGGGCTGAGGGGGAAAGAGAAATGGAGAGTGAATTAGAGGGAGATGGAGACGGGGAGGTAGAGACACACAAGTTCTGAGAGACAGAGGCAGGGAGAGGGATAAGAATTAGGCCCCTCGCTGAGCCCGGCTCTGTGTCCTCAGAGAGCAGCTGTTTGTGATTTCCCTGATGTGCCCTCCCCCACAGCTGGGACATCTCAGGGTGGGGGGGAAAAGAGACTTAGTGTCTAGGGCTCCTGGTCCAAGGGACAAACCCTAAAGGCAGGAGCTCTGGTTTCAGGCCTATGCCCCCTGAACACTGGCACTTGTCAGAGCTTCTGGGGGTGATAGCCGAGGCACTCCAAGCCTTCAGCAAGGTCAAGGCTCAGCTCTCCCTGGGGCTCCCCTACTCACGCTGGAGCCTGCAGCCCCGCAGCTGCCTGGCCTCTGCCTGGCCTCCGCCTGGCCTCCCTGGTCTCTGCTCTCTTCTTCAGGCAAGTTCCTGAAAACAGCCGCAGCCTGGCTTCTCTCCCCAGCCCTGTCGTTAATGGCTCGGCCTCTGACAGACCCAGGGGCTGTGGATTGCAACACCTGCCCAGCCTCCTTCCCTCCTGTGTCCTGTGGGGGGCGGTGGCACGGCAGCCCCTTCCTCCCAGGAAGGAGCCTGGGAGGGAAGCTGGTGAGGCCTGGGCAGCCTTCCTGCCTAGGGGGTCTTAAAGGGGCTGGGGGATGTGGCAATGATGTCTCCCTCCTCTGTCTCCGGATTTCCTGACCTCAAAGCTTTGAGGCGCTGTAGGGCCCAGGCTCCAACCCAGCTGGGTGCCATTCCCATGCTCCTTGCCTGGGGGAGCATCGCTCAGAGACAGATCCTGGCTGGAAGGTTCTCTCAGCAATAAGCCTCTTTTTAGCACCAGCCTTGGGGCCCTGATTCTCACAATACTCAGAGGGCAGCCTCCAGGTTACAGGGAATTTTGTAACACAGCACCTTCCTCGCTGCTCCACTCTCCACCATGTATTCTCTACCATTGCCTGTCGGCCAAGCAGATGGAGAAATGGGGACTGTGGGACCCCAGAGGGAAGACCTGTGAGGCCCAGGCTCTTCATAGGCTCACGAGAAACTAGTCATGTTTACTCACAAGGATTCTGCTAAACTGAACATTTTTTGATTGCATGAAGTAGGCTACATCTTATGTCTTTATTGTCTATATCCATGATCCCCCTTCAATTGTTAATACTTTTCTGTGCATTTTCTGAAGAAGGCTCAGACTGTTCATAGTTTATTGGATTTATAACTCAATAAGGTTAGGTCCCAACTGACTAGCAGAGTGTCCATAACATGATTCTTTTAGAAAAAATGGGTTTTCTGAGTCTGGTGTGATGGGCTGGACCTGGGCTGCAGTGTTGGTTCCAGATGGAAATACCCAACCGTCTGCGGCAACTTCCCTGAGATGTCCCATAGGCCCTGGAGGCTCAGCATATCCCATTGATTCTTCTTTCAAAATATATCCCAAATCCTGGGTAGACAGATATTCACTGTAAAGTTCAACTTGGCTCTATGTTTGAGTATTTTCATGATAAAAAGTTGGAAAATATAAATATCACTTAAACCTAGATGGTTGCAGTGGCCCCTCCCTGGCCTCCTACTTCCATTCATCCTCACCCCTCCACCTGTCTGTTAAAGTTCCATCAGCAGCCAGTGCCATGATAATTAGACAAATTGGTTCGTGTCATCCACTACCCAAACCCCTAATGGCTCCTGTCTCACTCAGTATCAAAGTGACACCCCTTTCAATGATCTACAAGGCCCTATTCAACCTGAGGCATCCCTGTTTGCTCCCTGATCCCTCTCCTATAATTCTCTCCCTTCCTGCTCTGCTCTAGCCACTCTTCTTTACTTGTTGTTGCTTGAACTTGTTAGGCTCCCTCCTGTCTCAGGGCCTTTGCACTTGCAGTTTCTTCTGCCTGGACTGTTTATCCCCAAATAATGATATGGGTCACTTCCTCCCCTTCTTCAGGTCTTTGCTCAAATATCACCTCATCAAGGAATTCTCTGACCACCCTCTAAAAAAATTGAAACTCCCTACTCCTTACCTCTCCCCCCCCCC